AGGCAAAGATTCTTCTTTCTTTCTTGTTTTTACAATCATACTTTATAGGATCTCTCTTAATTAGTTCAATTGATGCCTTTACATTGGAAGTAGTGGCTCCCATGGTTGCAGAAAAATGTAAGTTTAGACTTCACTAACCTTAACTCTGAGGCTAGATTCTCAAAGACTCCATGTTGACCTATGAAATCAGGCTAATAAATGACTTCATACACGATTGCTGATACATCAAAAAGTTCACCCACTTTTGCCTTGTTTATTTTATATCTACCAGATAAACCTAGAAACCCTTCCTGGTGGCCAGATGAAATAGAACTCAGACAACAATGGCAACAAGAAATCACTGAATAAGCTATTTCACCGCTAGAAAATTATTACTTGCATAAATAAGAAAAACTCAATTTCTATTTTCATCTCTAGATTTAGCACACTTCTCAAGCAATACTTATCCAAATTGTTGATTTGACAGCTACCATGTGATGAGGACATCACTTGTTTGGACTCTTATCTATGTTTTGGACTACTATTTATGTTTTACTTCATTGGGCTTGTATTAATGGGTTGGCCCAAGCCCATAACCATTAGGTTTACTTTCGTTATTGATATGCTTGTATTGCTTTTCAAAAGACAGTTGAGGAATTCATGAAATGAATATGCAAGGTTTCCTCCCTCTTAATTCTTCTCCGTCTGGTTTTCTTCTCTAGTCCCTTCTCGCTCCCTTTCTTCTTCTCTTCCTCCTCTTCTCCTCCTTGCAGAAGTTCTGTAATTCTGCTTCTTTCCTACTGTTCTTATTCTCTACTAGAATCCCTTTTATCTGGAATCAAAGTGATATCAGAGCTAAATCTGGACAACAATTTACAAAGCACCAACAGTCAACAACATCACCAGTCACCTCCGCCTCCTTCGCCTGTAATTATTCATTCAATTTCTCCTCCAGCGCCTCCACCTCCCCAACCGACATATAGTACACCAATGACCATCACAGGCTCAACCCCAACCACGACAGTCATCTGCAATATCAATCACCCAAAACACCCAGAACTTCCTCTACCAACTACAACCCCCACTAAGCAATAACCGCCCACAATCAACAGAACCCTACAACCGCACAACCTGTCACCACCAAAATTTCACAATTTATTGTGCGAATTCACATACACAACATCACAATCGGCCCATTACAAACCGCCACCAGTCAAGATCATAAAACCTATTCCCCAAAATCACTAGTCGCCGCTTCCTTTACATCTGTTTGAACCTCTGCAACAGCTTACACCCTCGATTTAAGCCACCATCTCAACCACCAGTTCGCACTGGCAGAATCCACCACCGTCGACTGCCTCTCTAAGCCCAACCTGCTGTCAATCAACCGCTGGCTGCCTTTGACCTGCGACCCAGGAAGACAAACAGAGGAGTGGGCCCCAGATTTTGGAGCAAGTGAACGCCTGTTACTATTGGGCTCTTATTGTGTTGGTAACATAGTTTGGGTCTCAATTTATACCTCTGTTTGTTTATGTTTATATAAAAGTGTAATTTGATTTTTTTTTGAAAAAGGATGGAAAAAAAAAAGGAAAAAAATCGAGAATTTCCTAACATTGTTTTGCAAGTATATTTTAGTTTGACTGATCAGTATCAAGTCTCAACGAATACGAGAATTTTCTGTCTTGGCATCTCAACGAATCAACACAGCGTCTCCACGAATAAGGGAAGTTACTATTTTATCTATCTTTGGTTTATATTACTGTTTATTTTAAAATTACATTGATTAATTTCTTTGTGCTGCGGTATTCCTCACTTTTACCTAAAATTCACATAACCGACACCCTAGACCTATTCAAACTTGTCTTATTCAATTTTCACTTTTAACCTTTTACACTATTATGTTGTTGACTAGTATTTGAACCGTGCTTTGTCATTTTACATAGATCAGCAGTATTAGCTTGCCTTATAAAGATCTACATAATCCCACCAAAAATAATAATAATAATAGTAGTAGTAGTAGTAGTAGTAGTAGTATATATATATATATATATATATATATATATCCGATAATATTGTATGTGAAGTGTAAATAATCCTTAGTACTAATACTTTGACCATGGATCCTTCTCAATTTGATGCCAGCCCAACTTGTCACTAATCAACAACAGTTTCAGACTCAATTAGCGACTGTCCAATCCGATATAGCTGCTACTCGTGAGGAGAGAAAGAACCTAGCTGCTAAAATGAGCCATTTTAATCAAATCCCTTATTCGATTGACGTTCATAAATCTAAAATGATCCGTAATAGACAATATCATCATCGACATAGTGATCAAAAATGCTTCCGACACGATCGTAGGGATAGGGATCAGGTTTGTGAGCGAGAACGAGGTTGTAATCATCACAGTACTCATTCACTTTCTCGTCATAAGGAGAGTTTCTTTAGAGGCAATAAATTAGATACTCCTACTTTTAATGATTGCTTAGATTTTGAAGTTTTTACTCAATAGACTGCTCTTAAACAAGGAAATCGGTTAGTGACTGAGTATATTGCACAATTTGAGGAATTTCGAACCAAATGTCATGTCATTGAGGATGAGACCATGACTTTGAGTAAGTTTAGCCAAAGTCTAAGAGATGATCTTAGACGTGAGCTTTTCTTTCGAAGTGTCACTACTCTTGATCACACATTCTTTAGCCCGAGATTATGAGTTGACTATTAGTACTCCATATGAAAAGCGAGATCACTATCGTTCACCCATGTCATTAGCATCACTCAACATGAGTCTGTCATAGAGCCTCCATCATTTAGTGTTCCTCCCATTTAGAAAAGTAAGTGTAAAGGTCATGATAGTCCAAGGCCCCCTTCTCCATATAGAAGGCATATTGACAACCATTCTTTTATTTCATTGGCTCCACTTCCTGCCGTTAAGACCCTTCTAGGACCTTCCCCGTCTAATGTTCCTCCAATCTTGAAAAATAAGGGTAAAATTTTTTAAACTCCAAAGACTTCTTCTCACTTGCTATGTATCAGCTGTAAGGACTGTGGTCACATCTCTTCCAAATGTCCTAACCGAGCCTTGGTCATAGAAGAACAAAAGGATGTAATAGAAGAGTCTTTAGAAGATCTAGTATATGAACCTAAATTAGAAGATTTTAATGATGATAGTGAGAATACCTCCTTAGGTGGCATCCAGACTCTTCCTAAGACTCTGGATGCTATATCTCATGATTTCACTAGTCACTTTTGGAGAACCAATCGCCTATGGTTAGCACTAAATTGAAATTCTCTATTATAGACCAACCTCAGACTAATGGTCCAAATGAAATCGTTAACCAAAGTCCTTGCAATTTATTCAAGTCTTTAGTCCAGAAAAATCTTGGAAATTGGAACTTGATCCCCCAACTGTTCACATTGCATATAACAATTCTACAAATCGATCTCTAGGTCTAAATCCATTTGAAATTATTCATAGTTATAAGTCGAAGCAGCCGATAGATCTTATTTCCATGTCCCCGCATGCTAGTGTGTCGTTGTCATATGGAGCATTTGTATATCATTTTCATGACTTGCATACTAAGATCAATAAACAACTTGATACAAGTAATGCATTATATAAACTTCGAGCTAATTGGCATAAACGACATTTTGAATTTAACATTGGGGAATATGTTATACTAAAGCCCGTAGTGCTGGTTCTTATGAAATTTTAAAGCATGTTGGTTCAAATACATGTCATTGATCTTTTCTCACATTTTGGCCACCATTTTATTTTATCTGTTAAGGACTTCGTTGCTTACAAAGGCTATTTTAACCCCTCTGATCATTTTCTACCTCCACATGGGAATTCCTACATTGAATCTTTTGCCATGTCTACTCCACTACCACTATCACAACACACAAAGATGAGATTGATGTGATATTAGATAATCATATTGTTTTGACCAATGATAGAGAGATTCGGTGCTTTCTTGTTCGTTGGGTGGATAGACTTGATTCTGAAGGTACATGAATCCCTAGAAAGAGACTTCAACAGCGTGATCCAGATTCACTGGAATTTTATAAGAGTCAGCAAAATCTTCCTTTGTCTAGGTCATCTTGGTCATGTGTGTCTTTTCCCAAAGTAAGATATGGGTTTATATAGGCAAGATGGTAGTAACAGTCTTCACCATGTTAATGCAGAATTTTAATGACTGAGTAGTGGGTGTTTTAATGGCAGTTAGTGGGTTGTTACAAAAACAAACAGTCATAAAATACTGGCTAGTTTTACCCATTAAATAATGAAGAAAAAAAATATATTTATTTTAGTCAAGGAAGCCCAAGAGCCCAAGGCCCTAAGGCCCAAATCAAGACATTTTAATATTTGCGTGGGGAGTGATTCGAACCCCTGACGTCCCACACAAATGTCACATTTCCCACCACTTTGGCACTTTATCTAATTTGATTATTTCTTTCACATTTTATATTTATACCATAAATATATAACAAACACAACAACCACTCTACTACAAGATTGAAAATTGATCAACAAGGTTTGTGGTTTTTGGGGAAATGGTCAATTGGGATTACTGTTTTGAGAATATAGAGTGGAGAAATATGGCAAGAGAGGACAGTTCAAGCGAAAGAGGGTTCTGGTTCCACATTTTTCTTGCTATCTCTTTAGAGAGATGAAGATGAAAGGAAAGTTATTTTTCCTTTTATCATTTTGTCATTTTAGATAACGAAAAAATCTTTATGCTTTTTCATTTAATTAGAAATGAATAATGAACACACGAAATTGCTTTTAAGAAATAATGTGTGTGCAAGGCACAAACATTTTTTATTGTGAAATTGGACTGCAGCCGACGGAAAGGATAAGTGTTATGAATAAAACAATAGTCCACAATTCAATTATTCTCAATATGTTGGGACCATTTCTCCGTGAATAGTGAATATGACAATTTTGGTTCACTCGTGATTGCTGTGTTTAGATTTGCATAAAGGACTTTTGGGACCTTTACTGCAAATAAGTCTAGGAAATAAGTCTTGGGTCACTCGTGATTTTCGTTCTTAGATTTGCATAAAAAGACGTCTAAGTCCTCTAGTACAAATAAGTCTGGGAAATATCGAATTTAATTTAAGTAACATGGGATACTATGTTCAACACCATCATACGACCCTAGCCTGGGCACAAAAACTACAACCCACTGACTGGACCTGAAGCGAATAGGGTCGAGCAGGGTCAGTTTAGTTATGCAATCGGGTCAGATCGGTTTTTAAAAAATTAAAAATTCTTGTATAACAGGTCGGTTTACGGGTTTACAAAAGGAAACCCTATTCTCATTTCATCTGAACTCAAGCATGAATATCGGAGAGTGAAAAACTTTCTTCTTCCACTTCTGTAAATCCCAGCCACCCTTCACTCCGACGAAATTGGCAGTCATCAACCTAAAAGATACCCCCAAGACTTGCTCCTTCCCAAAATAAACGAGACTTGCTTTTAGTGAACAAAACAAACACTGATTTTTTTCTCCTAATCTCTGTCTCCACCATCACAAATCCTGTTGTCAACGGTGATGGCAGTAGAATCCCACTTAGATGCTCTGAAGTGTTCTTTTTTTCTTTGATTTTTGTTATTCTTTTGTTTTTGGAGTTGGGAAAAATAGGTCTTTCATTTGGATTCTGGTCGAGATAGTTTTCAAATTCTTCACGTACAGATATTGGAAGAAGTGGTGTTGTTTTCATGACTGTGTTGATCTACTTCAGTGTGGGGTTGGAGAATAAAAACATAAAACAATGGAGTGCTCATGATCCTAAGCATTCGCAAGGTAGTTTTTTAATCCTGGGCTGAGTTTTAAATAAATATTATGCTTTCTTGTTCTTTGTTTTGTAGGCAGTTGATAATTTTATTGTTGAAATTGAACAAAAAGTGGAAAATAGGTGACCCGGACCAAACCGACCCGACCAGAACCTGCTCCGATCGGTTCCAGAGAGTCTCCAAAACCAAGCAAACCGGTTCAAATCGGGTTTGGGCCAAAAGCTACCAGACCCGTCCCGTTGCCTAGCCCTAGTGACAAGGGGTCGTCATCTAGTGGTAAATTTCTAACTAATTCTGTTATAGGTTCCCGTTTTATCGACCAACTTACATGTCCTTCATTCATTGGTTTTGAAGTCATGTTTTAAGCATGTACTCATTTTGTGCCTTGATAATGGTTACATTATGAAAACCGTTAGCCACCCTAGTTGCGAACTCTTGTGCCATGATTGCTCACTTTTACTTGCACACCTATTATATTCATTGAGTTTGCATGAGTTTGCCTCTTTGTTTATTCAGTTTAACAATTATTAATTGCTCTCCTCCTTTCAATCTTTACCAGTTTCCTCCAATTCTGAAATAGTCAACGTCTTCACCCTTCTCCTTTTATTATTCTTCATCATAAAATGTTCAATTTTTCTGTATTTTCCTCCACTTGTTCAATTAAAGGCGGTCCGTTAGAATTCTTCAGGCATTTTGATAGCCCACATTTGCAAGATGAAATATTTGAACACAAATTCCCATCAAAACCACATTTCCTGAAAAAAATTCTATCTGATTTTCCTATAAACTCACTTAATAACCGAAACAGACCTAGGGAAAACCAATCAAATTGAAAGAGCTTCAGCCCGAACCCAAACAAGAAGCAATAGACAGACAGATATAATTATTCAAAAACTTGCTTCATAGTCCCAAACACCAAAACCCTAATTACAAAATCACTAAATTTCTTGTAATAAGTGATACAATGAATCAAAATGTGGCAAAAATAAATAAATAAAAGAATGAAACAGAAAAACGACACCTGAGAGTCGAGAAGTTGCCGGTTAAGTCAATATGGCAGAAAATTCACACCGACGGTGAGGGAATTTTTTGGGTTGAGAATATGGCCAATTCTTCAAACCTTTTGCACTTGTTCAGTTGTTTGTTCGTCTTCCCCGTCGTCTTGTTCGTATGGTAGAGTAGACAGAAGCACGTCTCAACGAAGTGAAGTCCCCTAAAAAAGATTGATTTGAGGAAATGGCTGTTTTGAACGATATATGGGTCTTTACTTTTCGCCTTTTTCAGTGTTTTCGGCCCTCTTTCTCTCTCTCTCTCTCTCTCAGATACACACACACACACACATTCTTTTGACACAAATATAGGCCCCTCTTTCTTTTAATTTTTTTCTTCTCATTCTTTTTTTTAACCACACAATTTTTCATAAAATAATATTATACATGAATTAATTACTTTTTCTTCCTTTTCAATTACATTCTTCCAAAAAATAAAAACAAAAACAAAAAAATATTCTAAACATTAAAATTTGAAAGAAAGGAGGCCAAACAGGAGCCTAGTATGTCGAGCTAGTTTTTTTTCTGGAAACTCGAGTTAGAAATTCTAGTCAAACGTGAGGTAGAAGCTCATTTGAAAGTACCGTTACACAAGTTATATTCTAAGACTCGAGTTTGAAACTCTAGTCAAACGAGAGGTAGAAGAATATTTGAGAAGAAGTTTCTTTTGATTTTGTACAAATTACCTAATTTAGTTGAAACGTGATTTTCTCGTTCTTTATAAATTTGAGAAGAAATAAGTTATCGTACAAGAAAATTCTATTTTTATTCTTCAATAACTAAATTTTGTTGTGGATCGATTCAGAAACAGAATTAGGACGAGTTAACATAAAAAATATATATATATATATATTACACATGATTTTTTTAAACATTTATAAGGGGGAATATTTTAAAATGGGGCCCCCTGAATTTGCTTTTGAGTCGATTTACCTAGACATTACATGTTGAGGACATAATCGAGTTTACTTTAGTTCATATTATACCTCTAATTATTATATTTTTCGTCTCAAAGTACATGTAACACACAAATACTGAAAAAATAAAGCTAGATTTTCTTGACAGTGCTGCCTCGAGAATGGATGTTGCATACAACAAAAACTTACAAATAAGACACAATTTTGATATTTTAATATAAGATTTTAAACCTTTTCTTTTTCTTCTGTAGTATTGTCAAAACAAATTAATTTATCGTTCTGCGAGGCACAATATAGTAACATAACAAATTTCACACGCTAAGCCCCGTTTGGCCCTCATTTTTTCAAATTTAAAATGGGGGAATAATATTTTTTTTGAAAAATAAATAGTTGAAGAAGAATGAAAAGTTTTCAGCTTATGAATAATATTAATTTATCGAATATTATGCGATTGAAAATGAAAGAGGGAAAAATGAAATTTAATTTAATGGGGGGTCAAACAAGGGCTAAGTGTCGACTTCGTGTAATCAAATGGTAAGTAAGTGGTGCATTATGCATCATGCATCTGCATGCCTATTCGTTCTACTTCACTCTAAAACAGTTTGTTCTAGTAATCCTTTAAAAATATCCCGACACTATATACATATAGATAGAGAAGTCGAGAGATCAAAAGAACATGTAAATGCAACTGAGAATAGGCGAGAACGCAGCCACACGATCACATTTTTGGGCAGTGAGACTTCTTTTGGAAGGAAAAATGCTGGAAATGGGCTATCCTTTAGACATTGAAGCAATAATAATTTTGCACGATGACAACACTCGGTACGAGGTAGTATTGATTTATGGTATAGGCAGAACTAGTTTCAAAAGTAACTTGTCAATGATTGTTCTTAGAGATGGCTAAAGGGTCAAGTAGCTCATTGGCTCAGCTCATCGACTCGGCTCGTCGAAGCTCGCCCTATGGACGATTCAAGCTAGTTTAGGGATGAGCCTGAGTACGAGTCGAGCGGTATGCTCGTTCGACGACCCGCCAAGTTCACTAGTAGCCTACAAGCCAAAAATTCACGATAAAAATGAGAACAAAAAAGTAAAAATAAAAATAAAAAACTCGAACTCGTGGGCTGAGCCGAGCTCCGCCTGAATGAGCTTGAGCTCGGCTCGGCAAAATGACGAGCCGATTGTCATCCCTAGTTGCTTTGCTTTCCACCCTCATCTTCTCCTTAGGGTTATATTATTTGTATACTGATTTTTTACACTATTGTTGACATTTGCATTGTTGTCAACAAATAATCGGATGAAAAAAATTATTTTTTTTAGAACTGTCCAATTGGATAATGTCACATGACAAAACATAAACAATGATATAAACAATAATGTACACCAAGCATACTACTTCTTCTCAACTAGCCCATTTTCTCTTTGGATTTGGAGGGTAAGCATGGCTTCCATCAATTTGCTTAGCTGTTTATTTCACCTATGCGTCTTGCATAAAGTGTAAAAACAAGTCGACCTTGAGACGACCGCGACCCATAATTTTTTATATGCCCTACTTGTCTAAAACGAACCCCGAGTCAAGCCATCAAGGTAGCAAGACCCAAGAATTTACTTTAATTATTTTATTTCTTAATCAATTTATAAAAATAAAACACTCCTTCCATCCCACAAAGATCCATTTTCACAAAAATTAAGAAAATATAATTAATACAATCGAAACAAAAAAATTTACTTACATTTTTCTTAATATCCCTACACTAAATAATGGCTTAAATACGAATAATTTATATTCATCGAAAACAAAGCACATTAAATAAGAACATGTTAAAAATAAAAAATAAAAAATAAAAAAATTAGGAATAATACTATCTAACGCCAGTAATGTTAAAACATCAATCTATGTGATATTATGTGATAAATTCAGTTAAAAGTAAAATTATTTAATTCATTTAATTGAACGTGTAATTTAATATCACTAATAGCATTACTCAAACATCAATTATACCCTCAACAATGAAAATGACATATAATTTGAAGGAAAAAAAAAAAGCAAGTATATCTTTATGGGACAAAGGGAATAGCATGAAACTTTAGAACTAGAAAAGTTAATAAATACATCACTCCTTGTAGTAAAAATTTACATAGTCGAAATAACTAACCAATGCTAATATGTTACATTTTGAATCAAAATTGATTGCGCTAAGTTATCTCGTATTGGCCAGGGCGAATGGCGAAGCTGCACGAAAGCCAATATAGGAACATATCGAAAATAGTAAGAGCATAATCCATCAGCGGCAACATCGAGGGACTCTCGCTCTTAGCAAAATTGGTGCAGGGCCATTATTTTGCACTAGCCTTTCGATTCATCAAGTCATGATAATATAGCAGTACACACATGGGTTGACCTAGTATGCTGAAAAAGCACCAAAATATCATGTTGCCCACCTGGAGAAAGATGAAAACGAGTGTTGTTTTTAGATTAGAGTGCAAATAAACCATCGGGGCGAAAAAATATGGACGATGAGCAAGACTTCTTGTACGAATAAATACTCCAAGAAGTTATACTTCAATTTGTTAAGCAACCATAAGACTACTTAAGTGAAAGGGCTGCTAACAGAATGAAACTTTACTTCCCTATTTGATTGACAAATCTAGTCCTCCAACCATAATGCATATTCGTGCAACTTGAGAACTCAAAGTAGAGAGGAAAAAACTTACCATCGAATTTTTGAACTTATCTTGCAAGTAATTTGTTATGATAACAACTGCTAGAATTGACTAGGACAGAACGAAGAACTCAACAAGTGTGATATAAAGAGGAAAAAACTTACCATCGAATTTTTGAACTTATCTTGCAAGTAATTTGTTATGATAACAACTGCTAGAATTGACTAGGACAGAACGAAGAACTCAACAAGTGTGATATAAAGAGGAAAAAACTTACCATCGAATTTTTGAACTTATCTTGCAAGTAATTTGTTATGATAACAAGAGGAACCTGTGCAATGGCGAAATTAGAATTCATAAATAATACTAAGCTGATGTTTGGCCCCCATTTTTCCAAAAGTCCATTTTTTCAAAACTCATTTTCAACCACACATTATTCCATAATATAATTTGAAATGCAAACCCAAAATCTTTCTTATTTTTTTAACGATGCATTATCCAACAAAATACTATTCCAAAATGCATTTTGGACCGAAAATGGGGCTCAAACAGAAGCTAAATCTCAAAACTATGATATCTTTAATCAGGAATACAAGTTAAAAACTGCTATAACCTGAAACATAATGCCAATGAATGCCCAAAACTTGAATATGTGGCAAGGGACGGCAATGCACAACTGTAAACAAACAAAAGATGATAAAAGGAGCGATATGAGAGCATAAATATAACTTGAAATGAGATATGAAAGCAGGAAAAGGCATTATACCTCATGAAACATAGCAGAAACAAGGAATACAATCAAAATAGCACTTCCCTGCATTGAAAATGGAGAAGTAGATCAAATAGATTGCAGTATATATATTATTATTATTATTATTATAATAATAATAATAATAATAATAATTGCAAAAGTTTAAGTATAATCATCATGTCCGGCATTCTCAAGATTTACTAAAAATCCTTGATTCAAAAGTATAAACTCTTTCAATCTCAAGAGATAGGAAAGAGCAGTCTCTTGGATCATAAAGTTACAATTTTTACTCTTATTTTAGGTCACATATGAACTTAATAATGTAATCCCTTCTTGGTTTAGGTTATTTAGGAATCTAATAACAAACCAATCTAATTTCTCATGTTTGACTATATAATAAAAATACATTGATTGGTCACTAAGCACAATACTAATTTATTCATCGTGAAATCAGACTACAACTAATTACTCCTGTAATAACAATCATGTATAAATGGAATAACAGAGTAGGAAGCAGAAGAACTTATTTTATTTAACTAACAAACAGCTTAAGGTTTCAGAGAGGAAGTAAATTACCCTCGGTATTCCATTCCGTAAGCATGGAAAATATATATGTCGGACCATCCACTTGTGTACAGGCTGCAATCAATGAACTTTCCATTCAGCAATTGTCCAGTTGAAGATAAAATAATGACAATTACAATAGAATAAAGAGCACTCAACAATTGCGTTAACACTATAAACAATATATCTTACAAGCATCCAGTAAATAACAAGCAGGATACATTCGATGCTGATGAATGAAGTAGCTTAATAACCAAGTCAAAAATAAAGAGAGAAATATTTCTGCATTATGTCACAGTTTACACTTTGCAACCTCTGATTGGAAAAATATTCACACTTTGCAACCTCTGATTGGAAAGATATTCACAGTGATTATAGCTCCATTTCATAACAAAGAAAATAAAATATAAATCGTGCAACCAATTTTTTCCAGAAAAAAATCTGCAGATTAACTTACCATATTCCACATCCTCCAATACTGATGACAGCAGCAACAATCGGATAACCATACATAAAATTAAAGAACAGCATCACTAATCAGACACAAAACTATAGGCGTGTAAAAAGGTGAGGAAAATATCTTATCCATGCATACAAGTCTACCTCTTCAACAGTTTTCGCATTCCACCAATCTTTGTAGAACTCACGATCACCAAACTGGAGAAGTTCTGCAAGTATATTCAGCCTATATCACAGCATTGTGTGTAAGTAAGATCAGAGTAATGTGATTAACAGATAAATATAGTTCTCATTTTCAAAGAGGCGCTTAAAAAATAGAATATACTCATTCTGCAAGGGCGAAACAAATACATTTTGGAGAAAATTTGAATACTCAAAGCAATTTAGAAATAGTTATTTGCCCCAGATCAAGGTAACAACATGAGCCACTTTTCTTATCTTAGTTAATACAGACGGTTACTGAACAAAATGCAGATATTTCTATAACCCAAACCCAGTTTTACAACCTCTCTACTTGGGTCATGTTGCTTAGTCTTGCAGTGTCATTGCTAACAACAGTAGAACAAGTAAATTTCAAATATCCATTTAACTTACAAATTTTAAAAACTGATTATGGTAATTAAAATTTATTCACTTACTAGCAACTGTAATTCAAAAATGAGATGAACTATTATCCAATGAATAGGAAAAAGCTGAGAAGAAAATTATTTTATTTCAAGAATGATTTCTCTCTTAGCTATTAGACATTTCTCAGAAATATTGGCCACCATTTTTCATGAAACTCTGCCAATAGAACAAAAGTTATCTTCCATTTGGAGTACCTATTTGTTTTCCATCTTTGCTTTTGCTTATCTAGTCTAGCAACACATTAATCTCGACTCTTTTTTCTTTTAGGTAATTTAATCCCTGCACTTTTTCCATTTGCTGAGCTCTGAGTTCCTCTGGCAATTCATGATGTGTGCTTTTGTTGACCAGATCCACTTTTGGTGCAACCTCTTTGGTAATGAATTGGCTGAATTGCACCAGTTGATGTTTACTTGACCAGTTTCACTTTTTTGGTTCAAATTATCTGTTAAATATTTAAGTGGTTGCATTTAATTTTACTACATAATCATATAATTTCTTACAAAAATATTAATATTTTAAATATATTTTAACTGGTGTTGTCTAATCCATGTCCTGTCCTACTTTTTTTCAAGAATCATCATGTCCAGTCACCGTGTAGTGGTGTTCAGTACAACATACCAACGCACTGAATGCTTGGACATCCACGATAGGTAACAATCTTGTTCCCAAATTGCCCAAAGTTTGTCTGGTATTGCCCAAAATGCAATTTCATAATGATAGATAACTTCATACCAACAAATATTGTGGCATCCTAATGAACAAACTTCCAAAGCAAGACAGGCAAAGAGCCATGTGGTATATCAGTGTTACATTAATGAGTTTCTAAATTTGAAATAAGTGTCAGGTGTTTGAAACAAAAAGAAGCAAGTTTCATTACGCAAATGACAAACTAATTGCACAATAATTTTAAAAAAAAAATATGTATTCCAATTTTGAGGATGGAAGGACATACCAAAGATGGAAAAGACAATAAAACATGCAGAGCCACACATATAAATTTGGAACTGAAAGCTTCAAGACTCTTTCCATGGCATACAAAAGGTTTCCTTTCAAAGGATGCTGAGAATTTCGCACAATTGGGTTTATGTACTGCACAATGAAATGAGCTATATCAGTCAAGTTGCATTGAAATAGAGAAAACCATTTTGTGAGTTGATTTATATGAAAAAGGAGATCACCTGTTCTACAATAAATCCCATGAATCCTGTAAATATTACCAACATAATGAATTGACGTACCACCCAACCCTTCCGAATGCAAGCTGTACGCGGATAGCTTGGCTAAAAATAGCAATTCTTAGGTGATTAGAGGAAATATTCAACACGACAGAATAAAGCAAGCGGAGCAGAATTATTGAGTTCAACTAAAACAACTTTTACATCAATCAAATGCACAAAAAAGGACCAAAATTAGCAAGAAATTCTGGTAAAGGGCTACTGAGAGGAATTTACTTCCCACTCCAGAGAATAATGTGCAAAAATTAAATTCACCTAACAATAAATATTGTTCATTATTTGAATATCATGAAAAATTGAAAAGGTAAAACCAGTCAAGTTTTGGGGAATTTCAACCATCCCCATTGCCCAGTGCTATCTAGTGTAAGATTGGCAGTGTTCAATGAACATTTCAAGCATTCATATTACTTGATGGCACTTAACTACGAGTCTATGTAACTTCATGTATATTTGCAGACTCAGCACAACAGGCAAATAGCTATTTTATGAAGTCTCTAGAGAAGCTATAAGTATTCATGAATTTGTATAAAATTTCAACATTGATAATTAAATTCCTCAGCCATGCATACCTGGTAACACAATGTAGGAGCAACCATGAAGTATATCAAACTCTTAAAGCTAACACTGAGAGTGTCATCCATGTTCCAATAACTAGACAATGCTTCATCCTGGCATCTCAAAAGAAAGTTCTATAAAACAAACTACAATAATCTGAATTGAATTGATTAAAAAAGCAATCGTTGAGAATTGTTATTCGTCAATTAGTACATGCACGCGTTTATGTGATAGAGAAATATAAATGCATAAGAGCATTGTAGTTATTAAAATATGAGAGAGGGTTAGTAACAAAAATGCATATATGGGTCATAATTCTTCTTAATAAATAACAGCTGAAGATACAGAACGTGATTTGTATCTCAACAAAAACAATGGAAATGGACAAATCTAGCATCACATCCACTTTATCTATTCATTTTAACACAAAGCAAAGTATTGATGGAGAATAAAACACAAAGTACAAGGGAAGATGAACAAAAACCATCAAAATATTATAAGAAATGTAGCTTTACCACCAAATGCTCCTTTATCTTCCTTTGACTCTTTCCGCGTAACATATAAAGGAGAAATGTAAAAATAATTATATAAGAAAAGGACTACAGTTTTCTCATTACCTTATCAAGTGATTTGGCTAGTGCTCTCACATCGTAACTTGCATGAGCATAAGACACCAACTTCAACCACACAATGCAAGCAAAGAGCATTAATGTGACACCCGACAGAACAGCGGAGTCAAACCTGTGCAATCCCAAAACAGTATCGTATCGTATCATAGTTGAAACTACGCATTGCTTAAAATAGATAGATCCTACCGCTATTTTTTGGTGATTTGCCCAAGGATCCCTACCTATTATGAGTTTCCAATAAAATCATCCCTAATCAATCTTATTTCTAGTAACGTACTCCACTAAAGAGACCCACCAACCAAATTAAAGGATTAAATTACCTCTAATGTGAAGAGAAGCTGTATGACACCTTCTTTGGCTATAAATTATGGATACCTCTGACACGAAGGAGATTTTCAGAAACAAACTTCACAAATGCTAGCTTTATTACGTGATTTTTAATCATATCTCTAGTAGTTTACAAATACCTCGTGGACATTGTCAAGAGAGGTAATCATCAAATGCATTCGTATGGATTACTATATATAACTTCGGGAAATTAATGAAGCCAAAAAAACACAGTATAAACTTAGATCTCCATCCAATCTCATATTGCCTCTTGACCCATCGCATTAAGTCTAACATGGTGAACTTAATGCTGGGCACCTCGACGCTGCTGTTATATATTTCAAATCTACCATCCACTTTTCACCATATGTTTGTGATGAGTTAAATATGTAAACATCATATTTTTGCAATTTTCTATTTCTATGTTTCAAATACAAATTTTGAATCTAAATATGTAAATTTCTCCATTGTCGAGGGTGAAATTCTTCACCAGACAAAGAAATAATTAAGTGTGATGAACAGCTTTCGAGATGCAGGTACTGATTTGAAGAAGTCGAGGACAAACCTAAGAATAACCAAAACTGGATACAAGATAGCAGCTGTTGTTATTATAATGTGAAGAAAGACAGCAACCTGCAATGTAAAAGTATATTTAGATTTTATTCACACAGACTATTAAGTAACAACTGATCATAAGAAAGAGCTCAACAATCATAGTTTAGGAAAAACCAAATTGCATGACAACTGGAAATTTAATAACTAATTTGAACTGCCAGTGCAAATAATATGGAGCATGACAACAAAAAAGTGAAAAAAATCACAAAAATAAATAAATGAAATGATTCATCAATTCATTACAAAATAGATAAAAACTGAGTCACAAGAAAAGAACATATAAGACATACAAAATTACTAGAACAGTAGAGAACTCAGCTAAATTATATAGATTAAAATTCTGCACTTTTTCATAATCCATGAATTTCTTATCTTTCACCACATATTTAGTTTGAAATTATTTATGTTAATCAAAATCGAACGACATCATAACTACAAGCTACCTTCTCAGCAAAACTTGTAGGCATAAAATTCCTGCTGGTAGATTGGATGATTAGATTCGACAGCTTAACTTTTGTAAAAATAGACTAACCTTCAATAAAACTTCTTAGACGTAGATTCTACAGAGAGTGCCTTCATTGAAAAGAGATACAAATGAAAACTCACCATAAATCATTCAGGTTGCCTCGTGACATGTTTCTCCCAATGTGATATAACTTAATGACAATTTGTCTAATTTATATCTACTCAGGGAACAAACCCCTATGCCAATTTTAGTGTGATATAAGTGTAATTTTTCACTTATTCTATCATCAAAAGTGGACGTTTGGGAGTAATTTCATCGAATTGATGCTTAATTTTGTTTGTATATTGTTTGTTTTAAGAAAAACTCAATGTTGGATTGCTTACGGAGAAAATAACCAGAAATCGAATATAAAGGACTAAAAAGGAGCATACGTTGAAGATGGGGACTAACGTGCAAAGAATTGAAAGATGCAGGACCATCAATGCAATTTAGGAAGGACTTGACATGAATTACTAGGGAAATTCGTGGACTGATTTGAAATGGAGGCGAAAGTTTGAAGCTTGCGATCGCAAGGGTGTCAAGTTTCAGGATGAAGACCAATAGCACAATCATGCGATGCAGCTCACAAGCTCATGTGATCGACAACAAAAAAGAATTCCTAATTTAAGTTGGACTCTTAATAGAAAGCAAAGAGTTGGAATCTTAATAGAAAGCAAAGATTTGGGAGGCCAAATACATTATTCTTCATCTAGCAACAAGGAAAACAGATAGTCATCTAGAGCAAAACATTCAAAAATATATACGTTTCTTCGAGATTCTTGAATCGGCATTGAAGATTTGAAGCAAAAGGATTGGGATTTTTTGGAGACTCCATTAAAGACAATTAAGGGGGCAAAAATTCAACTTAACCTTCTTTATACAATTCGATATGCCGGGAGATGAACTATCAATTTATATGTTTTTGCAATATGAACATGCTATGTTAAATCCATTAGTGCTTAAGAATATGAAAGTATACCATTTAGTATATGTTTTAATTCAAAGATTCTCCTTTTCATTCTCATTTCGTGTTCGACTAATTAACCACATTCTCCAATAAAATAATATTACACGTAAATTCAAAACTTTTTCTTATTTTTTAACGACACATATATCAAAAAATTACTATTACAAAATACATTTCTCCCTAAAATGCATTTTTAATGGAGCCCAAACAGGGGCATAGATATATTATTTCACATTCAAATGGTATGGAGCAATACCAAATCCCCCACTTAGGTCTAGGCGATAAGCCTAAAAACTCATGCCTAGACATGAATGGATTTTTTTGCCAATGCACTCTGATATCAGTTGTTTGGTCGAGTTCATTTGGAGTCATATGCTTATATGCATTGACTTTTAAGAAAGTACTATTGAGAGCAAACCCTGAGTAATGATAGTAGTCAAACATTGTCTAAAACAGGATAAAAAGAAGAAGAAGTAACTCTAACTTACAGATTCAGATATATACTTTTGTAGCACCAACTTCTCAACAAAAAATGCAGCAAGCGGGAAAATTGGGAGACTCAGGCTGCAAAATATAACGAGAAGAGTTATCATAACAAAAGAAGAACACATTGATAAAAATAAAAATTTATTGTTTTCTTAAACCATCACTTAATTAAAAATGTTCTTGGTATGTACCAGCACATTAGAAGTGGCCAATCCTTCAGTGATGTTGAACTAAACCAAAAGCCTGAATTGATCAGCCAGCCATACTGCAACCACATACAAGATTACCTTTTAAACTCAACAGCTCCGACGATAATAACAGGTGTGTTAATCTTCTGAAAACGATATGCAGTAAACATCAACAGCTTCTAACTAATAAAAAGATACATATAGTATTAATGACGATTAGATTAACTATCCACATAAATCAAAAAGTACAGTGCAATTCCAAGAGACGCACCTTCATCAAATTTTCAATAATAAGTCTGCTATTTACAGCAACAAGCACCACTATACAGAGGTTGAAGAGGCCTGCATGGCTCTGCCACAAGAAACCAATTAGTCCTGAACGCTATGAAGTTCCATGACAAAATCATTCGAGAAATAATTCAGTAAATAACTCCAGAAAGTTATAGTTGCACACCAATATATCCAAAGCCAAGACCAAAACAAAATAAAACCGAGATCACGGCATCAAGATAGCAATTTAACCTGGTTGTACATTGTGTGTAGTTATCTAGGATATAATTTTACAATATGACCACCATCGATTTAAATATAACTGTTTTTTGTGAGTGAAAGATGTTGCACAAATATGGGGCTTCTTTGTCTATGATTAATATATTTATATTCGAGATTAGATATATATCGTCCTCAAACTCCAACCTACAAGGTTGTGGTTAAGTTTCACAGATGACACATGTTCTATCCTCAAAGTTACATCGAGTCAACAAGATGCAGAAAGTCTCTTCTTAGTTGCTCAACTTCCACGCCTAGGAAAACCATAATATCTATCCAATTCTTAAATAAAATTGGATTCACCGAGATGAGCCACACCATCTCCGAGATGCAGAAGTCAATAGGAAAAGTCAGCGCACACCTCCCTCAGCACAAGAACAAAAAAAGAGAAACTTCTCATAAGGTTACTTTGTCGCCATTTTTACATTTCATAACTTCCCGATATACCCCCGCCCCCAAAAAAAATAACAGAACAGCACAAAGAAAGGTCAACTCTTGGATGGGCATACCATAAACACAACAAATGACACTCGAGAAAACTCATTTCTTAACTTACTACTTTAAACTACATCAACAGCCCCAATTTAAGTAGGATAATTCATAAGCCCATTTTCAACTTTTACAACATACCATAACAAAACTTCCCTTCCCTATCAACTAATGCCATAGAATTTTCTTTTTCATGTTATCTTCTGAATGAAAGCAACTGGACATCAAATGAGTCCTAAGCACTCAGAACTGCAATATAGTTACTGAAATAAAATAACCCAGTGATGATCATTGTGCCCTGGAACGTTAAATCAGAAATCAACTATTTCCATAAAGCACTTACCAAATTAAAAGGGCAATAGATGGATGTACATGTATTTTTGGGCGTGCTGAATTTGAAATGATAGCTTTATACGTAATATTAGTATGTCACCATATAAGGATATGTACCACCATATTTGAAATTGGCTTTCTTAGTCCAAAAGTGACTGATGGAAAATTTTTCCTAGAACAGTAAGCTAAGAGCCACCAGATTTTTTTACATAAAAAAATTTTAAATAGAACCAAGGGCACAACCCATGATTGTACCAAAATCCACACATGTTCTACCAATAATGATAGCAAAAATAAATGACTAAATAAATAAATAAATAAAGTGTTACAATCAGAAAGCAATTACATGTACATCCAAAATAAGGCCTCATCTAACCTACAAAAGACCAAGTGGCAAATTTTTATTCATGCCCAGTCATGCTGAGACTAAACAAGTTCATAAGTTACATAGATGACACTAATCATCTAAACAACAAAAGAGAAGAACGGTACTTAATTTTAAGTTGGTTAAGAGAAAAGGGAAAACAAATTTTTACTTGTCCTATAAATGAACTCAAAAATTAGGAATTCAACAATAAATAGTGAAAATTCGATATTGCAGAGCAGAAATTTGCGTAGATATGTAAGGATGGCTAATTCTGTGTATATGTGTGAGATTATAAAGATAAACAATGCAAACCTGTTTAAAGATTGCGTCCGAGCTGAGAGGGCTCTCTTTGATTCTCCGGTGAGCAGGCGCCGATGGCCGGTACGCGAATTTCACGGCCGCCGACGCCTCTTCCATTTCATGGTTACTATCTCCAGAACGAACATGTTCCTTCTCCTCCTTGCCATTACAAAACACTTCAGTACCCGATTCAGTCGGCTCTTGCCGCACCGATTCCACCACTCCTCCACACAGATTTCCCATCCCATTGGTGTTAATAACATCACTTTCACTGTCATTCACCGACTCAAAAGAGTTGGATTCTGACTCCGGTACTGCCTCGGCACTAGATCTCCGCCGCACAGTACTCTCGGCGCGGCTGTGGTAGGTGTTCAACGTCGTCGTTTCTACACTCTCCGGCAACTCCGGGATCGCCATTTTATATATACAACACAACCCAGAAACAAATATAATAAAAATTCTAGAAGGAAACAGAGCTTCACCAAAATGGGTTACTATCAGAAGATTGAAAAAGTACAGATTATAGAAAGATTTTAAGGGTATCGAGATTTTACGAGATTTCGATGAAAAACTATTTTTGGGATTAAAAATTTTATAGATGCAGGCCGTTTTCTTTATCCTTTGTGCTTATATACAATTATATATACATTGCATACATACATAAATACATGAACGGAGACAAAAATGGCTGATTCATAATCTGAACCTCCCAAAGGCGGCCGCTTGGAAGTTTCTAATTGTCGCGTGAAACGTAGCAAGTCTGCAAGTACCAATGGCAAAGATTTTGTAATTAATTTTCTATAATTGAATATCAAATTTTTAAAGTACAAATCAATGTTTACAATCCTAAGAGGTTAAACCCCAACCTTAAGGTTGCCTCATCGCCCCTGTTTTGGAGTATCGTGAGGGAGGTAAATCGCAGGTTATATTTCCAAGGATATAAGGTGGAATGATGCTTATACACTTGCACTTACCCAAGAGTCAAATCCATATTTCAATATTTGAACCCTTGACGCGATAGCCACAAGCTAAACTGGATTTCTCCACCCTCTCTTTTTACTACTTGGAGATGAGCCCGAGGGGCAATGTTTACAATTCTCACTCTAATTGATGGGTGGCAATGGCGTGTTTGGAATTTTTTTGAGGCAGTCAATTGTTCTAAAATAATAATTTCGAAGATATCATATTGAAATGGTAAACACCAAACATGATTCACCAAGCTATATGCTGCACAACAATTAATAGGTAGATTATTTAATTGAGATATTGAATGAGAATTATTTCTTGGACGATTTTAGCCTACTATAATTCAATTATTTCAATAATATTTTACGTTTTATTTTTTAATATATATATTTAATTTAATTAATAGTTTAGTTACCTACATATACATTTGACAGATTCATGTAACTTGTGTACTTCCATTAATGTGTGAATTCTTTGATATTAATTCTCAATTAATTAACATTCTCATTCATTCATTTAATTAATATTCATCTTTATTTATGCATTTCATTGTTATTAATTATAATTATAAGTTAATTAAAATTTCATATTAAATAATGTATTTCATTATTCAAGTTCATGTATGCTAATTAATATTCAATTTTATTTAATTGAAAATTAAAGAAATGATTTAACATTCTTGGTCACGCATATATTCCCTAGTATTAATTATAAATTAATTAATATTCACGTTTATTCAAATATTATTTTTACAATTTCTTATAAAGCATTTTATAATAATGTGCGACACGCGTTTAACGTTGACTAGTATATTGGAACGGTAAAATGAGCAAGTACCCAAACATGATTCAGTGAGTGTATATGTCGTACATCAATTAATATGTAGATTATTAAATTGAGTTATTAAATGGTATTGAAAAGAGAACGCGTGAAAATTTGTACGTTGTTCTTTATAAACATTCCATTTTTCAATCTATCGAAGTTTTTTTGTTACTTTGGAAATTTAGCAACGAATTAAACAAATTATAAATTTTGAAAATTTGGAAATTTATCGACCCACGATTTGCTGTTAGATTTGACCTAATTAAGATGAAGGAGATGACCCGACATGACTGACATATTAGGAATTAAATTTCAATAAAGAGAAATCGCATGAAAATATGTATGTTGTCATAATCTTTTCGGTGTACCGTATAATTTTAATATTAAAAATGATTTAGATAAATTCCTAATTTTGAAATTTTGAACACGACACTTTAATCCATAAATAGGTTGCTTGATTTGATAAGTGACGATGGAGATGGTGCATCATGGTTAACGTGTTAGGTTGAGCAGAATTGAATGTCGACAAAGAGCGAGTGTGTGAAAAATTATTTGTTTGAGATATAATGTTTTAAGTGTGCCGAATATGTTTATAGTTACATGCCACTTCTAAAACTAAAGAACAAGTTAAACAATTCTTAATTTAAAAAGTTTGAAAATAAATTTACTATCACGTCAATTTTTATAGGTAGGAACGAAGACCGCCAAGGCATGATTGACATGTTTGGTTAAATAGAATAAATGTCACTAAAGAAGTGCGTTGGACTTGTCAGTTCTGCATGATTCTTGGAATGGTCAGAGTATGTTCATCGTTATTTGCAAATTTTGATGTTTAAAAATAAGTTAAACAATCTCTTAAATGCAATTTTAAAAAAAAAAAAAAAAGTTGAACCCTAATCTTAAGGGTCCCCATCGCCCCGCCTCTAGAGCTTTGTGAGGAAGGTAAATCGCGGGATGTGCCCTAGCAGGTCAGAGAACAAGAGTTGCCTGTACATTGCGCTTACAAGGAGTCCAATTTCATGTTTCAGAAATCAAACCTCTACACTGCGGCTGCCAGCAAGGCATGAGATAACCTCACTCCTATCCTTTGCACCACTAGACTATATCCCGGGGGCATCTCAAATATTTTTTTTTTATTGTATTGAACATATTAATTAGTTATTAGAATATTTTGAAACACCGAAAACAGTTTTTTTTTCTTTTTTTTTTAATTTAACTTTTAAACTTTTGAAAACGATATGTTAATAAGTCAATTTTAATCCACCAAACCAAACTTCAAAAAGGTAGTTTAATAAAGAAGAAGCAAACAAAGTTATGAGGTTAACCGTAAATTAGAAATTGTTTGAGAAAGGGACATTAGTGGACCAAATAAGTTGATTCGCCGCTAATGTTATAAATAGTTGAATAAAAGACAAGATTTTAGGTACAAATTTAGTGCTTGTTTGGAAAAGTTCAAAAGTTGCTAAAATATTGAATCGAAGTTAATAGTCAATTTTTATTACAAATTTCATTGAAACCACAATGTTTATCAACTTTTATCAAAATTTACTAAAATTATATCAAAAGTTTTGTCAAAAAATCAATTAGTAAACAAAACAAAATATGTGAATGATAAACTTTTAAATATCTGTTGTATAATATCAAACAAAGAGTGTAAACTCAAGTTACATACACATTTATCTATAAAAATCATATACGTTTTAGGATTTGGAAAAAAAAAAATCTAAATTTATCCCATGTTTATAGTTAAAAATATTAGGGTAAGTTGTTGGACACTTTGAATCTAGATTTTTGGCCTGGCAAAATGTTAAATAAATTGAAATATGTTTAAATTAGAGGATCTTTAGATTATTTCCTTTATTCCCTCTCGTGCACATTATACAAGAACTCTATACTAATTATATATTTAGTATGTTAAATGTGATCGTGCTGAATAGAACTATGAGAAAAAAAAAGGATATTTAATTTTAAATGGTTTTCCTATATAATATTTTCATATTATCAATGGCAACATTAACTATATGTGGGGTATGAGATCATCTATCAAAAAAATTTAGAAAAATAAATTTAATCTAGACATTTGAAATATATATATATATAGAGCCTCATATTTTAAATTGGTCTAAGGCTTCATAGACCGACTCTACATATTATGTACTAAGGGCATTTTGGCACATTTTATTATCCAATTAACTTAATTACTAATTCTTTAATATATATCATAATATTGTTAATATAAACTATTTTCTGGATGAATAATGCATTGTAGCATCATTAGAGTCGTTGACATCAAAATTTGTTAAGCACGATTTGAGCCAACTTTTAGGAAAAATGGCATTGTTTACTAATAATGGGGGTTTACAAATATGTTTCTTTGTGGGAGTGAATTACTTCGATGGTCCCCCCTGGAGAGGACCAATATTTTCTATTTATAGAGCGAACTAATCTAATTCTCTTGGAATTATGTCTTGTCAATTGGATCTTTCATAATGCCGAGCTTGATTTGTGTGCCATTGATCTCTTATTATTTCACTTTTTATCAGAAAATTATAGCCTGCTTCAGGATAGGCAGTTATAGTACCTTGTCAAACACCCAATCAGTACGACACACTTGGAAGAAGTGATGTCAGCACCGGTCAAATCCACCAATTAGCTAATATAACCGCTTATCCTAAAGCAGGATATAATTTTCTGATAAAAAGGGAAATAATTATGATTTGATGGGAGCCAGCCTCAGTAGCCAACCAAAAAAAGAGATTGATGGCACACAAAGCAAGCTCGGCATTATGAATGATTCGATTGACAAGACATAATTCAAAGAAAATTAGTTTTAGTTCACTCAATGAAAAGAAAATGAGGGGACCATTGAAGCAATTCACTCCCACAAAGAAACATACTTGTAAATCCCCATTATCAATAAAGAGTACTAATTTTCCTAAAAATTGGCTCAAAATTGTGCTTAACAGTTTTTTACGTCAATATTTGGCCCTAGAATAAGGTCCAATTGTGTAAAATAGCCTCATTTTTCCTTAAACACAACAACAAAACAAAAGGCCATGAGTCGCAGTTTCACCTTGGGAAACCAGTCTCACACTCATCCCAATGAAATTGGCTCCTACACAGTTTTCGAAGAAGGCAAGATAGAACTGAAGCAAGCAACCCTCAAATAACTGCTATGAGGGAGGCCATCAAGAGGTTAACAAATGTAGTTAGTAGGCTGGAAGAAAATCGGGCCCACGTTTTCCCACTTGATACCCAAGTAGAATCCCTAACCATGGAGAGAGTCAGGCAATTCCCTACTAGGAGATTCCTCCACTTCTCAAGGAAGGAGTCCTCTGAAAGTCGAACTGACGAGGTCAGAAGTCCTTCCCCAGCAACGAAGCCCGTCACCAAAATGGCTGGCAATGTATTCAACTAATTAGGTTCTCAGCACTCGCTGACACCCCATAAAATGCATGCTAAACCTAACTTAAAACGCTCACTTGAACAGGCAAAACTTGAAAATAAGCTCTTTGAAAAAGAGCATTACCGACTTAGAAGCCAGAATTGAGGGAGTGGTAGAAGAATATCTCACCGAACGTCACTCTCCTTCACAGAAGACATTTTTGTCGAACCCTTACTTGAAAAATTGAAGATAGCACAGCTGACCGCACATGAGGGGGAATGAGATCTCCTCAGCCACTTAGACAAGTACACTTCATGGATGGAGCTGGAAGGAGCAAGTGATGCTATCACGTACCATGCTTTTCCCTTGACCATGGGAGACAAGGCATAAAGGTGGTTTAGAAGGTTACACCAAAAGTCCGTAAAAAAATTGGAATGACCTAGCTATGACATTCTTGGCCTAATTCATGGGCTCTAGGATCATAACCACACCAAAAGAATGACTGGTAAGCATCAAGCTAGGAAGAAGTGAATCGCTTAAAAGCTATCTCAACAAATTCAACAAACAATCAATAGAGGTCGAAAAGAATATTAGATAGCTTCATATATGAATTCTAAAAGAGAAAATGGATGTTGGAGCTGGGTCCCAAACCTTTACTCAGTTGAATCTAAGTGAAAGAACTGGGATCCCTGCTACTTCCCAACAGAAAAGTCTAACTGATTAGGTTACACTATCAATATTAAGTTTATTGTTATTCATATCTATTGTAGGATTGAACTAACTTTCATTTTTATTTTTGGAAATTGATGCTTCTTCTTCCTCATCCACTAGTCATACTTCTTAAATCATCTGAATCCCCATATTCTATTCCAGCATCTTCATCATTGTTTGCTTTTGTTTTTCTTGATTGCATGTATTATCCATTCCAATATCAAATCCCTCACTACACTCAAAAAATATATCCTAATCATGATCATCATTTTGTAATTTATCGTGCTCAGACACAGGATTAGTGAAATCTTCTAACACATTCTTCATCAACATCTTCTGTTGGTACCCCAATATGTACATCAAACTATTCTTCAAAGTCCTCAGCCATTTTCTCTTTAACCTCTTCTACCTTAACATTTATAACATCGCCAATTTAAGTTGTGTCAACTTCGGTATCTTCATTTGTAACCTCGATGGGAAGCCTCTATTTCTTCTCAATGTGCTCAACAGCTTGTTCCCCATTATTTTGATCTGCTTCATGTTTGCAATTCACCAAAGTTCTGCTTATCCACTTCTGGTCCATGTTATTCACCTAAGTTCTGCTTACCATAAACCTCAGTTTGTTGCTCCGCCATCATCTGCACCTCAACCAATGTTTAATTCGCACCTAAAATTTCATCATCAACATCTCTCTCAACCATTATATTTTCTCTTCAACATGGTTTTTCAACAATATACATATCATTACCTTTCAATATTTCATCAAATACCTCTACAACATACTATGCTTTCTAATCTATTTATGTTTGATTAGCTTTCTTATTCTTGATTGGTTCACAAGTCTTATTCATACTATCCAAACTCTCATGAGTTTCAGGATCAACAGCACAAAGTTTAAAAGTTATTATATCTTCCCAAGATAATCCCAAAACTTCTACTACAGGCAAATAATACAGATCAACAACACTTTTCTCACCAAGTAACTTTAACAAATTAATGAAATCGTCATCAGTTACTAACCAAAAGGATTCCTCACTCAATCTTCTTTCAAGCCTATAAAGATAACCGCATTTGCTCAAAATATCCCAACATCTTCATGGCACTATTAAGTAGAAATCTATTAAACAATTCAGGATTAACATAGTTTAAATAACTTATCTTACCATGTTCATACACAAATTTCGCATCTTTGCAAATAATATTCCACCATGGTGCAGTTGTATTTTTAAATATCAGGAACTCTCCTCTGAACCAAAAAAGTTTGCAACTCCAATCAAAGTGTGTAGAATCACATGGAACTACATAAAATTAACTCCAGCACATCATACGAATATCGATTAAATAGAGAAAATATATCCAAACCCTGGTATATTGCTATAGTGACAATAATGAAAACAAAATTCGAATACAACATCTATGTACAAGAAAAGAACGACAATGTTCAATGCACATGTTTCTCTACCAAAGATTGAACATTTCACGCGAGTTCTATCAATGAAATTAATAAAAAAATATAAAACTCACCATACTTGGTTCTAGAAGGGAGCCTCTTAGATGATAAGTAATTTCTATGGGATTATCTTCGGAATCATGGGTTTCTTGTGAACCCATTGTGGAAGAGAATGGTGTACAGCGTTCATTTCCATTTGACTTTTGGTATAGGCATAATTGCCACTTTTAAATTTCAAAGTGGGATTAGTAATCAGGTCATTCTACCCTTCACTTAACTGGTTAGAATAAGTCAAAAAATTATTTTTTTGATCAACTAACGGAGGAATGGATGGTTTGCATCCATATGTTCCCCAACCACAATCGAGATGAAATGTTTGGGACTGTGGTACAAAAATGAAAGTTTTAGGTATAGTCTACAACTATAATGTTTATAAATATAAATATTTCACCGTCCCAATTATATAGACTGAGTTTTCTTTTTTCTCTTATCCCAAATATATAGGACTGTTTCCAAATTTAAAATATTTTGTTTTGTTCTTTTATTAATATACTCTTATTCAATTTTCCCCACTTAATATACCAACTTCTTGAAATTATCCAAATACACACTTCCCACTTCTTGAAAACATGAAACAACTCTCATTTCTTCTTCTTCAAATTAAATCATTCAAATTCTTTACTAATTCCAACAATAATTTACTACTACATACTAAAAATTAAATGAGGATAAACTAGGAAAAATCTTGGCAAAAATAATTTTCCAATGACATTGAAGAAGATTTCTTAATTCGTGTGAAAAACGAAACAAGCCTATATAATTGGAATAGATGGAGTAATAATTTATAAGTAGAATTGATTAATATTAAATTAATTGAAAAAATGAGCGGTTTCGTTTAATATGAAAAGAGAATCTGGTTGTTCTTTTAAGGTTTACCTCAAAATTTTATATTTTTCAATAAATTTGGCCGATTGATCGTCCGCCATGCCCGTCGAGTCTACAATTACGGTAGGGCAACTCTTGACAAGCTTGAATCACGCTGGTTTCAATATGTGTTTAACCATAGCATATCTGGAAATGAAAAATATTCCTTCCATGAGAGTTGCTTTCATTTTTTACAAAAATAAAAAAAAAATTAATTAGTTTGAACAATAAATTTTATTTATATTTTTCTTAATATATAGTTACATTGAGTAATGGTTTAAATATAAATAGTTGTAATTCATATTTGTTGATAACAATGCACATCAAATATGAGCATATTTGAGAATTAATAAATTAACTATATTTTCAACTAGAAAAGTCACCGATAATTTTGGAACAAATGAAAAAAGAAAATTAGTCTATTTTTATAGGACGAAGAGACTGTATAGATTGAATTTCGTTTGCGAATGAGAATTGTAGCTTATTGAACAGCCAAAGGCTTTCTTTCGGGAAGCACCAACTCAATCTTGTCCAAACATATTACACCAATTGTGCCAACCAATTGCAAGAAAGTTTTATGTGCAAGTTGAACTAGTAGTGCCAAGAGAACGAGAAAAGAGTAGAGAGTTGGGAAAAAGCGACTAGAAGGGAGCAACTCAAGTATGATGAGGAAGAGTTAGTAATATATATATATATATTTTTTATAACCATGAGTGTCCGGGCCAATTTACGCGCATCTCGACTAATCACATGGGACCCTTAAGTTTACAGACGGATACTCACCTCATTGGCTCTGAGAGAACTCGAACTGGTGACCATTGAAGAGCAAACTCAAAGTCTGACCACTGAGCTACCCCTCAGGGTTAAGAGTTAGTAATATTATTAGAGAACGGATGTTGTAAGGTAGATTCGGCGTTGATGATATTGGATTTGATTTTTTATACTTTCATTTCCTTTTATCTTTCGCTTTTATTGAAAATAATTGTTATTTATGCATCTTGCTCCCTCGAGAAAAGCAGGTTTTCACAAATCATTTTAACTAAAATTTTTATGAAAACCGTTCTAAAGGAGTAATTCCATCACAAAAGTAAAATGCCGACATTTTTAAGTCACAAAAAACACATATCTTGACTCTCTCTCGAAAATGTTCCGTTCTGTCACATTTGTTTCCTTGGGGATCTTTATGTAAACCAAATCAAACAAATGGGATCACTTTAGATAAAAAAAAATGATACAAAAACATAAAGCTAAAATCCTTCCGTGCTCGGAATGTTAAACCCTAGTGGAAAAACAGTGTAAGAATTCCCAATTGTAGGCACCCGTTGACATTTAACAATCGCCACTCCGAATGTAAGTTTCTGAATGTTTTATTACTCCAAGATTTTTTTACTGGATTTGATTCGTAATTTGATTATTCTACGTAATTTTCGTTTTTAATGGGATAAAGAATGTATGAATTGAAGTACATATCTTTATTTTTTCAATAGGAATGGTTTTCTTCTGATGGTTTGTTTGCTTTCTGGCGAAAAATGGTTGTATGCTATCATAATTAGAAAATAATTGTTTTTCCGCAGTACTGGAAAATGGCTGACAAAGAATCTCCATCTGAACCCAATAAAGAAAACCCAGATCACGATTCTGTGGAAAACCCGCTTCCTGACTATAAAACTACCCTTGAATACCTAGTTCAAAAGTTCCAGGATACCAGTACTTCTAATAAACAGCACAAGTTTTGGGAAACCCAACCTGTTGGTCAGTTTAAGGATGTTGGGGACTCGAGTTTGCCCGAGGGCCCCATTGAGCTGCCGAAACCATTATCCGAGGTCAAACAAGAGCCCTATAATCTCCCTAACTTGTATGAATGGACAGTTTGTGATATGGATTCTGATGAGATCTGCAATGAGGTTTATGTATTGTTGACTAATAATTATGTAGAGGATGATGATAACCTGTTCAGATTTAATTACTCAAAGGAGTTTCTTCGCTGGGCTCTGCACCCTCCAGCATATTACCAGAGTTGGCACATTGGGGTTCGTGTCAAGTCTTCGAAGAAATTGGTTGCTTTTATCACTGGTATTCCGGTAAAAATGAGGGTGCGTGATGAGATTGTGAAAATGGCCGAGGTTAATTTTTTGTGTGTTCACAAGAAGCTCAGGTCCAAGAGACTCGCACCTGTGATGATTAAGGAAGTTACAAGGAGGATTCACTTGGAGAATATCTGGCAGGCTGCTTACACTGCTGGAGTACTTCTTCCGACACCGGTCATCACGTGCCAATATTGGCATAGGACATTGAACCCGAAGAAGCTCATTGATGTTGGGTTCTCTAGGCTTGGTGATCGGATGACAATGAGCCGTGCAATTAAACTCTACAAGTTGCCAAGTTCAACATCAACCCCTGGTTTAAGGAAAATGGAGCTATGTGATGTTCCTGCTGTTACTCGGCTGCTGAAGAACTACTTGAGCCAATTCGTTGTTGCTCCTGATTTTGATGACAATGAAGTGGAGCACTGGCTTCTTCCTCAGGAGAACGTAGTTGATAGTTATGTTGTTGATAGTCAAGATACTCATGAAATAACAGATTTTATAAGCTTCTATACCCTCCCGTCATCCATCCTTAACAACCAGAATCACTCAATTCTGAAAGCAGCTTATAGTTTTTATAACGTCTCTACTAGAGTTCCACTGCTTCAACTGATGAATGATGCCCTTATTATTGCAAAACAGAAGGATTATGACGTCTTTAATGCTCTGGATGTCATGGAGAATGAGTCTTTTCTGAAGGAACTCAAATTTGGACAAGGTGATGGCCAACTATACTATTATCTGTATAACTATCGGCTAAGAAATGCTCTGAAACCATCTGAACTTGGCCTTGTATTATTATAATTTGTTGCATGATTACTGCCTCAGAACAATTCTTAGTGCCTTGCAAGAACTTAAACAACTTATAATTGTGTTGGCTATTGAGATATTTAATGAGTTTATCCTTTTGAGTTGTTCTTTGCTTCTAGTGTAAGATTTTGGCAACTTCATTTAAGGTAATTGTTGAGCTTTAAGATATGTTTGATAGAGAATTTTTGTGATAAATCGAACATGCTCTTCGCTTATTTTATAACTTACGAAATTGTAAAATGTGTACTTGCCGAATCTTTGGCATTTTCTATTCCATTACAGCCTGAACGAAATCTCTATATCAATGCATTGATCATCTTGTGGGAATTGTTTCATCTCACTATAGGTTCACTTCTCTTTCTTGCATATTTTTATTGGCGCCGGGTGTATGTTTCATCTTCTTTCAGCTTCGTTTCTGTTTAAAGTCGAAGCAAGCAAGATTCATATATAGATTGTCGTTTCTTTTGCTCATTAATGGCCATAGTATGTTATCACTACTATGTTACTTATTTCATTATTAACATTTTGATTGGTGTGTTTTATGTTTCTAGCTGCATATTAGACCTTATTTTTACAGTCTTATAATTATTTGAGCCATTATATTCTTCTGTATTGAAGTTTATGCCTCGAATCACTTCGTTGGTCGACTCTATATTTGATTTAGCCTTTTCCAATCCATATTTGAACAAGATCCATTCAACTAGTGGAAAACCACATGGAATATAATTTAGCTATTATATGATGTTTATTATTTTGAGAAAATGAAGATTTGAATAGTGATTTTTTTAAGAATGCGTTGTTAAAAAGTAGAAAAAAGTTTTTAGTTTATATACAGAATATTTTATTGTGCAAACGTATGGTTGAAAATGAGTATGAGAATTAAAAAATTTTGAAATGATGGTTGTCAGGGGCTTAATTTAAAAAAAAAATAAAAAATCAGATAATAATTTATTTACAAAATTCTGGAGGAATCCAATGTCCAATGAGTGCAAGCCCAGATGTTATGCCATCTGGAGAACTTCACCATTTGAAGCTGTAAATGGGAAAAAGGGTAACTTAGGAGCCAAAGAAAAGGAGAGACGAAACTGGATTTTCCAATATTACTTCACTCAAACGCATCTAGTGCCCGTGACCGTTTCTGCCTCTTCGACTGCTTCCACCGTTACGAACGATTTGGTTTTTGTTAAATATTTATACAATAAATATATAACAATAAATATATTATGTGAAAGTTAAAGCAAGTGTTCAATTGATTAGAAGTATGGAATTTGTGCGGGAGGTTGGGGTTCGGTTTACATTCTACGCGATAAATAAAAAGTCTTTGATTGGGCATTGAGGCCTTGGCCTTCCTCAATTAAAGCAAATTTTTTATTATTTTTTAATCATTTTTTTAATTAATCAAACTAATCAATATAATATAATTGTTTTTTACCAACTCATTATCAATAAAACTACGAATATTTTTGAATCATGGTATTTTGTAATTTTTCATACATATTGAGTGCACTTGAAAGTCCTGAAACCATTCATGATTGTTGAATAAGCGACGTGTTTGATCATTGTATTTTGGAAGTGATTGTCCACAAAGATCGCAACAGTTAACAACTAACAATTTTTCCTTAGGACATTGTGCTGTCACGATATTTGATCAATCAATAAGTTCTTACAACTTTTTAATTTACTGCAACTAATTATTTCCCAACATTTTCTGCTATTGCAATTCTTGTCTAGAGCTAGGAGAGGGAAACAGGCCAAACTGCCCAACATGACCCAAATCCACTCTACCAATTTTTGTCTATTTTCTAAATCAACCCGACATGGTTCGACAAAGAAAATAGACCAAACCCAATAGAGAGATAGGCGAGGACGTCACGTTACTACGATGGGGTGCAGATTGACTTGGATATAGGGTTTCACTTTTTTTACCGGGTTGGGTCGGTTTTAATAGGTTTGATTTTTAATAACCTAATAGATTTGAAGAATGTTATAACCTAATAAACATCAACTGAAATCATTAACTTCGTTCAAAAGATGAATAGATTTGAAGAATGTTCAAAAAATCCTCAATAATACAAAATTTTGATATTAGTTCAACCAGTTGTTTTAGGATTCACAACTATCCTTATTATCACAAGTACCGTAAGAAAATAATTTTCTTGTTTTTAAGAAAAATATGGCTATATGACCATTTTTTAAAAAAAAAAATTCATGGAAAAAAGTCAATCAAACACCTAAAAGTAGGAATTTGAATGACAAAATGTTAATTTTTCATTAGGAAAATAAATTCAATAAAACTCATCCTAAGTATTTGTTATAAATTCTATGAAAAAAAATCGAAAATATTTTCAATCGCACATTCTTTCAATAAATTTTTGTTCACATGGACCCATAACTTTTTTATTTTTTTAATCAAAATTTTCAATTTTTTTTTTCCAAAAAATCTATTATCAAAAATCTAATCAAATATGCTCTAAATGTGACGTGGTTGTTCCGTTCTTTTTCACCATAGTTAGGGGAAGCAGAGCGAGCCTCTATGAAAACATTGAATAGAGACGCTTATTTTTCTTTTAATTTTTGGTGTCTTCTACAAATCAAGAATCCAAATTTATAAGAGAACAATTCACAGCTTAAAGTTTTTAAGCGTTTCACCTACTTAAAACAATAAAAATTACATGTATATGCCCTTGTTTGGGCTCCATTATTTTCAATTATAATGAAAGGATTAGTAACTTTTTAAAGAATATCAGAATATGTGATTAAAAAGGAAGGAATTTATTTATTTATTTATTATTATTATTATTTTATGTTTACATGTATTATTATTTTATTGAAAAATGTGTTATTGATAAGAAGAGAAAAAAATGAAATTTAGGGTCCGTTTGATGGCAATAATGAAATTTGGGTAGAAAGAAAAAGAATTTCAAGGAATTGAATTGGTTAAAACTTGTTTTATTGGGAATTATCAATTAAATGTTTTTTATTACTATAATTTTCTAACTGGAAAATGTTGAAATTTTGAATTTTTTAATATTCGTTTGACTTTGTTTTTAATGAAAATTGTCAATTAAAGGGATGTAATTTGTTACAATTGTGAATAGAATTTGTTTCCATTGTCGATTTTTCATTTTATTATTTTTTTATTATTATTTTTTAAAGAGGTTGAAAATCATTTTCTCACTACCAGTTCATGGGAAATTGGTCATGTGGGCTGGGAAGATGGAAAATGAATTCTATGGAAAATTTTTGCTATCAAACAATAAAAAAATTGGAAATTGGAAAAAATCCCATATCAAACATGCCCTTAATTTAATTAGGGGCCAAATAGGGACTATATTTGTATTAATTCTAAAATTTAACATGGGAAACATTGATTTTTCGTTTTTATGAAAACTTTTTTTAGGAAGTCAAGTTACGAGTTTTACCCAAAAATAAAATAAAATAATAATAAAAATAATAATAATAATAATAATAATAATAATAAAGTAAAGTTACGAAAATAGCCCCACTATTGTTTTGGGAATTTTTAGTTTCTACTAAAAGATGGAAGTAAATGGGTAATTTATCTGCCTTCAATTTTAATTTAACCAAATTTTTAACAGATCACTAAGGGGGTGTCCTCAATCTAGAGTTTGATGAATTTTAAAACTCCATATAAATTGAGGTGTTCTGAATTTAGATTAAAATTCAATTCATTAAAATGTAAGTGCCCTCAATCTGAATTTTTAGAAATACTTATAAATTTAGGTGTCCTCGATAACTAATTGATTTAAAAGGATTTTATTAATTAGTGGGGGTGTCCTCAACTCAGAGTTTAGTAGATTTGTTAATATTTATAAATTCTCATGGATTGTATGGAATTTGATAGATTTCATAAGATTTAAATGAATTTCTATTTTGTAGATTTTCATGGATTTTTATAGATTTTAATGGATTTTATATATTCTCATCGATTTGGGTAAAATTTATGGTAAAATAGATTTCAATGAATGTGTATGTCATTATAACTATATTTTGTAACTCTTAATTACTTACACATGGAAAAAAATCTACAGTATATTCAATAAGAAAAATCCAAAATTAACATGTCAGAATAAAAAATCAATTGACAGCCATTGGTGAAATTAACACATCAGAATATATAGGAAATTAATGGCCATTGGTGAAACTAACAAGTCAGTAAATTGATAAATTCAATAAAAATTGATCTGTTCATGACAGATGGATGCGAGATAGGGAGGAGAAGAAGAAGAAAAACCTTTTCACCAGAGAGGGAGAGGGCAACAAATCTGCAGGCGAGAAAAGCCTTGAAATTTGTGGGGTTGGGATATAATTGTTACAGATTTTTGGTATTTATACTTTTGGCTTGAAATCTTTTAAAATCTATCTAATTCTATCTAATTAATTAAATCAAGTAGTTATTGAGGACATGTAAATTTCTATTTTACCTATTAAAATCTAAATTGAGGACACCTAAATTTATAAATATTTCTAAAAGTCTAGGTTGAGAACAACTATATTTTAATAAATTATATTTAAATCTTAATTGAGGACACCTCAATTTATATGGAGTTTTAAAATCCATAGAACTCTATATTGAGGACACCCCCCTAGATAGATTTTGAAAGATTTCAAGCCATAAATATAATTACCAAAAATTTGTAACAATTTTATCTCAAACTTAAAAATTTCACAACTTTTCTTACCTTTCTACATATTTCTCTTTCTCGCCCCCTCCCTCGATGTGAACATTTTTTCTTCTTCTCCCTCTAATTTCACACAATTCTGATTTTTTCTTATTGTAAAGATACTACTGATTTTCTTCTTCTTCTTCTCTCTCTCTCTCTCTCTCTCTCTTGCATTTTGCTGAATATGTGGGTAAAACCATTTTGTAATGATCCATTACATAATATTTATGAACTAAACGTAAAACCATGATAATCTTTAAAAGAGCATATGGACTCCTCATTTTTCTTGAATCCTATTGCGTTTGGATTTTGAGTAAGCCATGATTTGAGCAGATCAAAAAAGAACTGTAGAAATTTTAGCCAAATCCACTAAAATCTATAAAATCCATGAAAATCTATTAAAATTTACAAAATAAAAATTCATTCGAATCTTATGAAATCTATTATTTTCTATAAATACCATACAATCCATGGAAATTTATAAATATTAAAAAATCTATTAAACTCTGAATTGAGGACACCCTTGTAAATTTGAATTCTAAATGTTCAGAAATGATTAGAATCATCAAGACGTTGATTATTGAGGAAATCGAGATTAAAAATCGTCAAGTTTTGATGTTTGAGATCATTTGATGATTGATATATAAAAAAATATGTTAAATAAATATATAAGAAGAAATCAATAAACGTTTCTTCGAAAAATAAAAATAAAAAATGAATAACCAAAACAAGGATTATCTTCGGGGCGTAGAATTTTTTTTCTTGAATATAAAATGCTCTCTTAAAGATACTCTAATATCATTAAAAAGTGGTGTATTTATAAGTATCAAAATAGCCATTCATCGATGAGGATAATAATAAGAATGCGGTGAATAACCATTGGTACATTTAAAATGTTGTGCATTTCCAAAAATATATAAATAAATAAAATAAAAATTGATTATAGATAAATAAAAAGTAACTTATCTTCATATGTTTAAACATAACAAACATTTTTGAATACAATTATAATTTATTTTTTGATTACCGAACATGCATTAATCTAATTTTCATTATGTTCTAGGTAAATTCCTCTAGGATCCCAACCTTTATACTTGTGCCACGTTGTGTACCAACTCTTTTGCTTGGACCACTCTATGTCCCCAACGTTTTAAAATTGTGTATATGGTATTCAATTCAATGAAATGATCTATTTATAGGGCAAAAGAATACATGGTAGGCTCATAATAAATGACGGAGGAGTATAATTGTTGAAAATTATATCTCCCAACACTTCGAATATTTTTAAGTAGGTAACTGTTGAAAAATATATCTCCCAACAAATGCAGAATCTTCTTATTGAATTTATATTTCTAGGAGGTTCTCAAAGTGGAGGAAAATTATTTTTAGACAATTATGTTCGTAAGTCCTCCGACTCATAATCGAAGTGCTCGTGCAATCTGTTGCATGACCATCGTTAAATCGGTTGGGCTGCTTGCGGTTTATGACGTATCTTACTTCATGTCCTTTTATCAGTCTAAAAGATGGGTTTTGTTAGATTGGAATACCGTGTGGATAATTTTAAAAGGTTCGGGACATGAAGTTGGCCAAATGGAAGACTAGAGACGTGAATTGGGACAAAAGGAAAGATTAGGGGTCCCATAGAAACTTCCCCACTCTTTATCTCTACCTCTACGAAACTTCCATTGCCCATTTCCAAACAGGACTTTAAGGATAATCTCAAAACTCCGACCGCGTAAAACAATTATATAAAATTCTCCAAGAAACCCGCCCACAGTTCACCGCCATCGGAAACCGCCACTGAATCTTCCTCCACCGCGTCCACGTTTCACACGCCTCCTTGAACCCCACCGCACCACCCCTGAAAACCGTGTGCATATGTATATATATCAAAAACCCATTCCCATTCTTTATACATTGACTCAATTAAAACTCTTCTGTGTTCACATTCCCCGTTCAGACCTCTTTTACACAAACATTTTCACACTATTATTTAATGGAAATTTCTTCTTTCCCAATTTTCCAAGAAGATTACTCGTCAAACTTCTATTCTTTAATTCAAGAACCAGACCCCAATAGTATGTCAATCACCAATACTGCTAATAAGCGCCCAGGAGTTGAAATGTTTTGTAATGAATTCGGGACGGATTTACTAAGCGAACTTTTGGGACTTGATAGTCAAATGGAAGAGCAGAAAGCAAAGAAGAACGTATCACCCGTACATTATACACATCAAGATTCCATTTTGGAGTCGAGAAATAAGCGAAGGAGTCAAAAGATGGATGACAGTGAAAATTACTTGAATATTGTTCAGAATCAAGATGCTTTTATGGGTTCGAATTCTGGGCAATCGTCTTATGCAAAGAGGACTCGTACGGAGAGTTATGAGGTGATGACAACGTCAGACGACTCGACCGGTGGTGCAGGCGGCAGCTCACAGCGGAGGCTCTGGGTGAAAACCCGGTCTAAAGCATGGTGGGAGCAAGTTAACAGTCCGGATTTTCCGGAAGAGGAGTTTAAGAAGGCTTTTAGGATGAGCAGAGCAACATTTAATATGATTTGTGAGGAGCTCGAACCAGCCGTGACGAAAAAGGACACAATGCTGCGGTTGGCAATCCCGGTTCGTCAGCGTGTGGCGGTGTGTATATGGAGATTGGCCACGGGTGAGGCTCTTCGTGAAGTTTCAAAGCGTTTTGGGCTGGGAATTTCTACCTGTCACAAGTTGGTTCTTGAAGGTTGTTCTGCTATAAGGAGTGTGCTAATGCCAAAGTTCTTGCAGTGGCCTGATGGGAATAGAATGGAGGAGATTAAAAGGGAGTTTGAATTTGTTTCGGGGATTCCAAATGTGGGTGGCGCAATGTACACAACACATGTTCCTATCATTGCTCCAAAGATTAATGTGGCGGCTTATTTTAACAAGAGGCATACAGAAAGAAATCAGAAGACTTCTTACTCGATTACAGTTCAAGGTGTAGTTGATCCTAGGGGTGTTTTTACGGACATTTGTATTGGGTGGCCTGGATCAATGACTGATGATCAGGTGTTGGAAAATTCTGCCCTTTTCCAGAGGGCGAGTCGAGGGGTTTTGAAGGATGTTTGGGTGGTTGGGAGCTCTGGGTATCCATTAATGGATTGGGTTTTGGTTCCTTATACTCACCAGAATCTTACCTGGACACAACATGCTTTGAATGAGAAAATTGAGGAGGTTCAAAGGGTTGCCAAGGATTCTTTTATGAGATTGAAAGCAAGGTGGAGTTGCCTGCAGAAGAGAACAGAGATGAAACTTCAAGATCTTCCAGTAGTTCTTGGGGCATGCTGTGTTTTGCATAACATATGTGAGATGAGAAATGAGGATTTGAATCCAGAGCTGAAGTTCAATCTATTTGATGATGAAATTATCCCCGTTAACAATTCGAGGTCGGTTAATGCTATGCACACGAGAGATCAGATTGCTCATAAGCTCTTGCACCATAATCTTACAGGCATGAATGTCATGTGATGACAAAGTTCTGACCTTTTTGTACCTTTTTAGCTATTCAATTATTTTGTGGCTTGTTCTAGTCATGTGATAGAATTATATGATATAGATAATTCTTTGATTTATTGTAGACAATCATTTACCTTTTAATGAATAGACAAATACCTTGTGACTTGTGTTGCAGATTCCATTGAGTGGAAATTCCCATTTCCTGTTATTCTATGGGATTGTGATTATATATGGAAAATTTATTCTGGAACTACTGTATGATTCCGTGTAAATGGCTTCAAAATAGGATTGTTTATATGATTTCATCTAGAGGTCAGACTGTGCACAAGTTTTTACACCACACTCTTGCAAGGTGAATATTACAACGATGATTGAGTTCTGAATTTTTTGTAGTGTGTTTTAGTGATTCAATTATTTTGTGGTTTGTTGCAGTCCTGTATCAGAATAACTGCATCAAACTGATTCTTGGACTCGACGTGAAAAATTGATTTGCATTCTATGATACATAAATAATTTTGTCTTAGCATTACAAGATCAATTGATAGCTTCGAGTTTTGATTGCGTATCATGATGAAGAAATTATGCATCAAATTTTTTTACGCAAATCATAGGTGTATTAGTTTAGAAGAGGTCCAGGTCCTGTTTAAGGATCGAGATGAGGAAGAAGATGGCATGTTTTCAAGTGAAGATTGAAGATGCGTGTTAGGAACCCATCTTGCAGTTGATTAACAATATCTGAATGGAAACAAAATGTTGTATTTTATTAATGAAACTGAGGAGAACTACAATACTAGAAAAGAAGACAAAGAGCCATTCGAGAGGGTTAGGCTCTCCACACTCTTTACTACTCAATTTTCTCTGCCTTTCCCAGACCTCCATTCTCACATTTATAGGCATCCTATCTCACCATACTTCCCACAATACCCCTGCCTCTAACTGAATATGTCTAATTGAATCAGCTTCTCAATTCTTCTGGGTCCTTCCGGAGTATGTAGACTTGATAGGAGTCTATCAGTGTGTCTGGAAAAAGGTAATTTCCTGGATAAACATACTAGATAAGTTTGATAATGTAAATCTTAACCCATGTTTGAGGATGACTATTGTTTCTTTCATTGGTTTCTCTTATACAGTCTATTATGCTAGTACAGATGCTTATGCCAAAGCAGTGTGGCCTTGTCGGGATAATCATAATAATATGCGAACTTAAAAGGATTTATCGAAACATTGTTCCCATTTTCTACTGAAAGTTGATATCTGACACTCAGTTTGTAAGAATTTTGTTTAGTAGTTTAATTTCTGTTCTGTACCATGTTCAGTTGGAACATTCTACTTTTCTTGTCCTGGGTTCTGATTATCTGTGAGGCCTTTGTGGTATGAAGTTATTGAAGTGTGAACACTTGCTTTGGCTGACTTGAGTCTTTTGTATTATTTGTTTACAATGCCAGAAATAGTTGTGTGGCTCCAAACTTATGTGGTTGTTAGATGAAGATAAGAGAGGATCGATAGGTTGACTATTCAATGAATACATTTATTATCCGAAGCATTACATTAATTCTTCCTGATTTATCACCTTAGCGTTCATTAGATAAATGTTTCAATCACAATCAAAGGATTGACTAAACTTTGATTGACTCTGCAAAAATAGGTTTTATCCTTTGAACTCATAAGATTTGAATTCATGTTGTTGGGATTCAAATTCTTAAGATTTTGAACCAATAGGAGTTGAAACTCTTGAATCATAAGTTTAAAAATAAGGGTATCTCTATTTTCATCCACACTTTTTTCATAAGTACATCCACTTTCAAAAATAAAGTTTTATTATTTTTTAAATCATATGTAAATTTACTTAAATAGACATAAACAAAATTAAATAAAAATACAAAACTCTAAATTGATCCACTATCTTTTATTTTCATTAAATTATCCTAAATTTTTTTTTATTCTTTTAGAATTTGTGTTTAACTAGAATCCTAATAGATTAAGAAAAATTACATGAATATAATTAGGGAAAATTAGGGTAAAAAATACTATAAAAAATTTATAATAGGATGAATGATGCGTTGTAAATATTTGCATTTTAATACGAATTTTCCTTACATGTTCTAGAAATAAAAAAATAAAAATTCCCTAGTGTTAGGGATATATTTAAAATGAGATAAATATATAAAATGTATTTGGATATATGTCATTTAATTGAATAAATTTAGTAAGGACAATATTGGAATATAACGTGGATTTAAATAATATTTTTTTAAAATTTTAAAATTTTATTAGGGATGAATTTAAAGTAGGATGTACTTATAAAAAGTGTAGATGAAAATAGCGCTACCCAAAAATAATCATCAATACAGTCTTGTTTTCATTCATTATCTAGTCATGACCATTAATTTTTAGGTTCATAGAGGCAGAAAATCGAGCAATAGCAGTTTCAGGAAGCCTCCCTGCTCTGCTCACTCTCAATCTAAAAATCGTAAAAAAAGAAATTCGAACTTTCTTGCCTTTCCACTGCTCTGTGGTGATTCATAGGTAAAAGAATGCCTCAATCAGCAGTTTTTTCATTCTCTAGCGTGTCCCGTCCCTTGCTTTTGGAGCTTTCATTACTATTTTCTGCTCAACCTTTCGACTCGCCTGACACCATATATTGTTCTGATTCACTCCCTTTTATCAGTAAGTTAGAAAAAAGAAGTAAAATATGATTTCTTGTTGATCTTTTAGTTTTTTTTCCTTTCATTTTTTGATTTTTTATTTTATTTGAATTATTTTTCTTGGTCGAATTATTATCATCTAAGATATGGGCATAATTGACAAATTTTAGAACCGGATTTGTGCAGCACTAGTATAATCCGTGTGATACAAACAAGCGTCGTCTCGAAATGAAGGGACACTATACTCCGTAGGCCTGTTTTGGCCGATAGGAACAGAGGAATGATTACATGTAATAAAGCACACGGTAATACGAGTCGAACAGCAGTCGGGGGTTATATCGCCTTCGTTGTTGTCTATATAGCTTTCTAGAGCAAAGATTCTTTTCCCAGCACATAGGTGGTCTAAATTCCCGATGATTCCTCATTCACAGCTAACTATGCATTCGTTCCCTGTACATGTCTTTTAGGTATCAAGCCTCGAAGTTTATGTCATGCAGCACCAACGGGACAATTAATTGCAAATTAGAATAGATCTATGGGGAGGGGGAATTAGAGAGAAGAAAGGGGACGGGGGATTCAACATAAGGGAAGAAAGAAAATAGGAAGAGAGGAATGCGCCATAAGTCACCAAAATATAATTCATTCATCAATAGAAAATTACAATGCAAAATAGGTTTAAATAGTAAAGCAACTATAACGAGATTGGGCCCGAGTCCATACAAGTCCAAATTTTAAATAATAGTCCAAAAATAAATAAAGCTTAAATAAAATAAGTAAACGTCTGATGTCCTCTTCAACTCTCCCGAGGTGGGAGAAAACTCAACCCGTGGATATATCACTATAGGTTGTCGTCAATCTCCCAACCATAAGCTGAATGGTTGGGCAAGCTTCTTCCGGTGTCTGTAAAAATGTGTCAGTGGAGGTCTGAACCTGGTGTCCTCACCAACTCTCTTTGGGTGAACGAGAGGCGATCTAGGCCAAGGAAGATCCTACTGACTCTGATAAAACTCCAATAAATCTGGATCCAATTGTTGTAGTGTCTCTCTCGAGATCCATGTACAATCAGAATCTGGTCGACCAACCCAACGAACGAGGAAGCGCTGAACCTCTCCATCATTAGTAAACACAGTTTCTTCATCTAAAATAGCATCAATTTTATTTGTGTACTGTGAGAGGTGGTAGTGGGTTAGAAGTGGCCAAATAGTTGGGATCAAGGTCCACAAAAGGAGGTAACAAAGGATCGTTTGAGGAATGAAATGACCTTTATAAGCTACTAGGTCCTCAATATTGAAAGTAGAATGGTAACCAAGATGTGGTGGAATGTCAACAACATAGTCATTTGGACCAACTTACTTTCAAATTTTAAAAGGACCATCACTAAGAGCTTGTAATTTGGAGGCGGGTCCTTGTAGGCGCCGCTCTAGTCTAATGCGGACTATAACGTAATCCCCAACGTTAAACTCAATATGTCGTTTATGCAAATCAGCTTGGAATTTATATTTTGCATTACTAACTTCAAGTTGTTTATTGATCTCAATATGCAAATCACGAAGATGTTATGCAAATGCTTCGGTTGACACTGACACTCTAGCCTGTGGACATAGGGATGAGATCTAACGGTTTCCGAGGCTTGTACCCATGAACGGTTTCAAACGGACTCATACCTAATGAACGATTTATGGAGCTATTATACGCAATTTGAGCTACAGGAAGGATCAAATCCCAATTTCGAAAATCTTTCCGGACCAGACAATGTAATAGGTTACTAAGACTTCGATTAACTACTTCAGTTTGACTGTCAGTCTGAGGGTGGTAGTAGAAAATTTCAATTTGGTAGCCATCTTTTGCCACAAAGTCCTCCAAAAATGGCTAGTGAAACGAACATCCCTATCGGACACAATGGTCTTAGGAAGCCCATACAATTTAACATTCTCATTAAAGAACAACATAGCCACCTTAGACGCATCTGAGGTTTTGCTACAAGGGGTAAAATGAGCCATTTTCAAAAAACGGTCGACAACCAAAAAAATAGAATCATGTATCTTTGGGGTGCGTGGAAGGCCTAACACAAAATTCATACTAATATCTTGCCAAGGACAATTGGGGAATGGAAGAGGGGTGTATAGGCTCATGTTCTGCTTCTTCTGTTTACTCAATTGACAAGTGTTACAAGTACTAACAATCTTAGCCACGTCTTTCTTCAAGCTAGGCCAATAGAATTGACGTTCAACTTCCTCTATGGTCTTATCACGTCCAAAGTGACCGGCTAACCCTCCCGCATGAACTTCCCACACTATGAAATCTCGCACTGAAGTTCGAGGGATGCACAATTTATTGGCTCTAAAGAGATAACCCTCCTCAAGTCGGAAGCCATCTGTGGCGCCTGATTGTCCCCTTTGTAAATCAAGAAAGATATCTTTAAAATCGAGACATGCCTCGTAATCCTCCTTAAGCCTTTCAAAATCGATGACCTTGACACTCATGATCGACAAAAGGGAGACACGACGACTTAATGCATCAGCTGCTTGGTTTTCCACGCCCTTATTTTGTTTTAAAATAAATGAGTAGGCCTGCAGATATTCAACCCAACGACCATGCCTAGAGCTTAATCGTTTCTGGGAGTTGAGGTAACAGAGGGCCTTGTGATCTGAATAAAGGACAAATTGCTGGGGCAACAAATAGTGGCGCCAATAGCGCAAAGCTTGGACCACCACATACAGTTCCTTATCATAAGTTAAGTACTGTTGTTTGGCTTCATTTAACTTCTCACTGAATTAGGTAACATGGTGACGATCCTGACTCAAGACTCCGCCTATACCTACCCTGGAGGCATCACGTTCAACTTCAAAGACTTTGGAAAAGTCGGGAAGACGCATAACAGGAGCCTCTGTCATTCTCTTCTTGACTAACTTAAAGGCCTTAGCCGCCTCTTGTGTCCAATGAAACTCTCATTTCTTCATGCACTCCGTGATAGGCACCATAATAGTGCTAAACCCCTTGATAAAGTAACGGTAAAATGTAGCTAAATCGTGAAAGCTCCTGACGTCATGAATAGTTTTAGGCTCAGGCCAGTCAATAATTGCTTGAACCTTAGTAGGGTCAGCAGATACTCCTGTCGAAGAGACAATGAACCCTTAGAAAAACGACTGTATCGATGAAAAAAGAGCACTTCTTGACGTTAGCATATAGATTAGTTACACGAAGGGTAGAGCAAACTTGTGTGAGGTGGTCACGGTATTGCTCCTTAGTCTTACTATAGATGAGGATATCATCATAGTAGACAACAAGAAACTTACCCATGAAAGGTCGAAGAGTTTGTGTCATTACCCGCATAAAGGTACTTGACACATTGCTTAGCCCAAAAGGCATGACCAGCCATTCATAAAGATCATCTTTCGTTTTAAACGCAGTCTTCCACTCATCACCTGGTCGAATTCGAATCTGATGGTATTCACTCTTCAGATCAATCTTCCAAAAGATTGTGACACCAACCATCATATCTAACATATCGTCAAGTCTAGGAATGAGAAAACGATACTTCACCGTGATCCTATTGATCGCAGGACTATCTACACACATCCTCCATGAACCATCATTTTTGGGTGTCAATAGGGCGGGGACAGCATACGGGTTTAAACTCTCACGAATGAATCATTTGTGAAGGAGGTCATCCACTTAGCTTTGAAGTTCAGCGTGCTCGGTAGGATTCATCATATAATGAGGCACATTTGAAAGGGATGCCCCTGGGACGAAATCTATGGCATGTTGAATATCCCGTAGAGGAGGTTGATGATCGGGTAGGTCCTCCAGAAAGACATCTCGAAACTCTTGGAGGATCGACTGGACTTCAACAGGGCTCTCTATTGTGGAGTGGGATGAAACCTCCATGACCACCAATGCGAACACAATTGAGTCACCAACAAGTGTACGCTCAAACTTCGTAGGACTAATGATATGCAATCCCTTTCGTTCTACACTCTTCTTCGTTTCCAGTGGGCCAACAGGCTTTGGGAGCAGAGGGTTAAGGTGAATCTTCTTTCCGTTAAACACGCAGGAGCAGGAATTAGATCGACCATAAATGGTTACATCTAGGTCAAATAACCAAGGTCGTCCCAAGATGATCTGCCCGACATCCATTAAAATGACGTCACACCATATATGGTCCTTATTCTCGAGAAATTGGATAGGGACTAAACAACGCCCCTTGACAGCTATAGAAGAGGTGTCAACCCAAGAAACGTTGTATGGTTGAGGGTGAAGAACATATTTCAACCCTAGACGGGATACAGTAGCCATCGAAACCGCATTAATACAACTACCACTATCTACGATAACTTTACGGCCCTTGTTATTAATCTTGATGTAAGTGTGGAAGATGGCATGACGACGCCAATCGTCGGCATCCCTAGGCTAGGTAAGAGTGCAACGGACGACACCGACTCTAGGTGTATGTGGAATAAGGGGACCAGCCTGAATACAACCTAAGAAGGTATCTTCACTATCCTCCAAATCATCAAACTCTTCTAACTTAGGCTCATAAACCTGGTCCTCTAGTGGTTCGTCGACTATACCTTCACGCTCTTCCATAACTATGGCTCGGCTAGGACACTTAGAAGAAATGTAACTAAAACCCTTGCAGTTGAAGCATTGCAAACGGGAGGACGTTCTTGAAACCTCAGAACCTCGACCTTTGCTATCCGATGTGGGAGTAGAAGAGGTCCTAGAATAGACTTGGGATGGAGTGGATGCAGAAGAGGTTGCAGTGCGGGAGTCACTACAATTTCTATACGGTGTCCTAGTCACTAACTCGTAATCCCGAAGGAAAGAGTAGGCGTGATCAAGAGTGGCGACGCCTCTAAGGACAAGCTCATGTCTAAGATCATCCCTTAGGCCTTGCCTAAACCTACTCAAGGTCATGACCTCATCATCAACGACTTGACATCTCATTCGAAACTCTTCAAACTGAGCAACATATTTGGTCACAGGTCGATTGCCTTGCGTAAGTGCATTCCATTGATCCAGCAAGTTACCCCTGTAAAATTGAGGTAAATATTTTTCTTGAAGGCGACGCTTCATTTCATCCCAACTCCCAATAAGGGGAGCATGACGCCTCTCCAAAAGGTCCTCAACACTTTCCCAAAAGAGTTGAGCAGTGTCAGTTAATTTCAAACTGGCAAATTGTACCCTCCGATCTTTCGAGACCCCATACCAGGCAAATAAGCAATCCATGTCCCTAACCCATTGATTGAATACACTAGGATCTAGACAACCATCAAATGTAGGGGCGTCTAACTTAATATTTCGAAAGAGGCGTTCCTCGTGGTGAGGGGAGATAGTGTACCATGACGGTGATATTCCCGCTTACACCCACGAGCCTGATTTCCTTCCCTACGATCGTGTCTGGTGTGGTGTCAACCGCCTTGTGGACGATGATGGGGTCTATTAATGGAAGCCTCAGAGTTTTCAGTTTCAGTCGAATATGAGGTTTGGTCAAGAGTGTTCAATCTAGAGGTTAGGGTTCTATTCTCCTGACGAGTAGTGGCTACCTCAGTTTGGACAGCCGTTAATTAATTTTGTAATTGTGCCAACTATCGAGTGAGGGCTTCAATAGGGGAAAGGTTCATGGCAATGGTACTAGCACTAGAAGCAGTAACACGACCACTACGCAATTACATACACGGTAACAATAGCTAAGTGAAGTGCGCTATAGATATCAACAAACAACTAGTGCGAACAGTAGATTAGCAATCTATTATTATTATTATTATTATTATTATTATTATTATTATTATTATTATTTGTTTGTTAAAAATGAGATTACGTAAAGTCCGATTCTTAGCAAGCTAATAATACTAATGCGAATAAAATAAAAATCAATGGTACAAATGATAGGCCTAGTCACGTGGGGTAACGGGTGAACAATGGGAGATAGTTCGCGAATTCCAATCAAGTAGGTTTAAGGCTCAAATTATCAAAGTATTAGCAACACAAAGAATTAATTGATGCAATTTGAAATAAATCAGTAGTGTCAACTAAAAATAGATAGGAGCAGTGACTCCCTGCGTTCGGTTGTGACTCCTTATACTCCGATTGATCAGAATTTGACAACTCGTGTGACCCTGCTCTATCCTCTTGTTTCAGTAGTCTTTCTTTTAGAACCCACTCTTGCTGATTGTCATTGATACTGTTTTGACTCTGACTCTGTCGTGGTAGGGGTACAAATATGAATCAATTACTCAATAAATTGCCTCTGACCCCTCGAAATCCGTTTGAACAGCTGCTCCTTGAAATTGAATATCTTCAGTTGAGCTAGGTGATTGTGGCCCAGTGATTTAGAACGTGGCTAATGGCGGTGGAAGTGGCTGCAGGGGTGATGATTTGAGATGCCGACATTGGAGATGTTGGCTGCGATTGATGGCGATGGCTAGGATGGCGGTGTTGGCAATCTGTTGACGTCGGGTTGAACTGAGAATGAAAAATTATGAAGTGGTAATGACCGACTAGATTTCAAAGGTCGTCGGCGAGTTTAGTGACCGTGGAGCAGTAGGCATAGACTGAGAACAAATTTTCAGCAGCAATTGTGTAGGGCGCTTGCGGTTGGCGGTGGATTGTGAGGTCGTCGACGTGGGTAGTGTCGACAGGGAAGAAACCAAGGTGGTGGCTGCTGGGGCGAGATGAAGGTGATGGGGTGAGATGTCGGGACGGCAGGGGCGTGGTGATGCCGTATGATGAAGGTTATGGTATGGACCAGGTAATGGCTATGTGGAAGTGGGTTGAGTGATAATATGATTGGGCATTGATTATATGGGTTTTGGAGTTATTGGGCTACGTGGGTTTGGGCTATGTGAGATATGGGCTGAGTTGAGTGTTGTGTATAATGGCCTGAAATTTAGATTGAAAATTATGTTGGGCTGGAGTATATGGAAATGACTGTGGGCTGTGAACAAAAATTTGAGGTTGTGGGTAGGGTAAAGAATTTATGGAACAACATTATTTATCTAGCAGCAGCCACAAACTGAAAAAAAATACAAACACTGATTGATAGACTACAGAAAGAAAATCAAAAAATTGGAATTCTGGGTGTGAACAATACCCGTGAACAGTAACACGATTTTTTTTTCAACAAGGGCAGAGAACAAAAATGAAAAAAAAAATTGTTGCTCTTTATGCTAAATCTCTTTCAATTGTGCTATTCCAACGAAATTTGGGAGGAAAAAAAAAAGAAGAGATTTTGGATTGTATAAAGAGAGTACCCAAGATTCGGCTCTGATACCAAATTTGATGTAGCACTAACAAGACAATTAATTGCAAATTAGAATAGATTTATGGGGAGGGGGAATTAGAGAGAAGAAAGGGGACGGGGGATTCAACATAAGGGAAGAAAGAAAATAGGAAGAGAGAAATGCGCCATAATTTACCAAAATATACTTCATTCATCAACTGAAAATTACAATGCAAAATAGGTTTAAATAGTAAAGCAACCCTAATGAGAATGGGCTCGAACCCATACAAGTCCAAATTTTAAATAATAGTCCAAAAATAAATAAAGTTTAAATAAATTAAGTAAACGTCCGATGTCTTCATCATTATGTTTATATTGATCACAAACCGGAGGAGAAAGTCATCAAAGGAATTGTTCTCCACCCAGAAGTTACTTCACCATATTCATAATTCAATAATCATCCCCTTTCTGCTTGTGCAACATGAAATTGCAGCTTTTTGGTTTGTGTCCCACAAATACTCAAAATTCGATTTATTGATATCTATCTTCCAGTTTAGGACCATTCTATCGAAGTCATGGACTGGTTTATTGACACTTTTTCCATGAGTTGGTGTTCTATGTGAACGATATAGCTTGTACAAGTCTCGACTTGTTAGATATTACAGAGGTCTAGTGAGCACCAAACATAACTCATCCAGTATTAATTACTTAGGGGGTCTTCTCAATTGAGATTGTGAATAATTTTTAAAATCTTTCTAAATTTAGACATCCTCAATTGAGATTTTTTCGAAATTCAATGAAATCCTTTAAAATTTAGGTTTGCTCAAATGACTAGTGGATTTATAAAATTTCGTTAATAAAGTGATTTTAAAAGATTTGGATGGATTTCAAACTTAAAAATGCATATAATCAATTTTTTTGAAATTTCACCATATATATAATGAGATTTTTATGAAATTTGTGGAAATCTATTTAAATCCACGAAAATTTCTTTAGGATTTATAATTTTTTAAAATTTATCAAAATTTTAGTTGAAGACACCCTCGTTAGTCAAATGGTTCGATCCGAAAGCATCCCTTGCATATTCGTTGTCTCGAGACATAGGAACAAAGCCCGTAGCCTTTCCTTAAATGTAGTTGATCTTGTCCTAGTGGAATTGAGCAGAAAAACATCCTTCCAATCTCCTATGCTAGTCTTGAACTCTTTTTTAACGGGTTGGCTTGCTAATGAAAATCGGGCTATTTATCTTTAATTTATTTTTATAGTCGGGAGATCCCAACTTATTCGAGTCTAAAATACTCTAGCTTTTCCACTATAAATTTCAATTGCTTACTGATTTTAATGTTTATGTCACTAAAATAATCTATAACACCTCCAAATCGCCATACTGGACTTGGAAAAAGAACATTATTTTCCGTTGGGCCCTTTTGACATTGCTGTTCATTTGGGCCGTTACCGTTCCATGGGCCTACACTGGGCCCAGTTCCTTACCCACTAACTTGCCTAAGCCCTCATTTGACAGCAACTTTCAGTGAAGAATAAGTTTTAAAACAGTAAATTTTTGTAGAATGTGAGGTTAAAAAGTCTAATTTTTTTCTTTTGAGATAATGCAAAGAATATTTTATTATGAGAATATGTAATTAAAAATGAGTATGAGAGAAAATGAGTTTTAAAAGAGGACAACGCTATATGTACCAAATTTTTTTATCGAATCTTTTACCCACTTCTCACAATAAGGGTGAAGACCACGGACCGACATTTTTAAATTCACACGGAGCTCGTCATACATTGTGAGGGGTACATCATTCGGTGCCTTTTTTTTATATACAAATGGAATTTCCTTTAAAAGAATGGCTATCAAATAGGAAAATGATAGTGCTGTACATTTTTACAGCCCTCTCACAAAAGGGGGTTGTAAGGCCATCTCCAACCCAGCACCAAATTTTGCACCATTTTACATCAAATTTTGCACCAAATCTTGCACCAAACTAAAATTCATCTCCAACCATTACACCAAAAATTACACCAAATGAACAGTATTTAACCATTTTCTTCCCTTTTTTTATTCTTTATA